AAAATGTTGATTATAAAAATGTGTTTGTTTAATTCTTTTTGCTTGTCACTTGATCATGATCTGTATTCTACATGTGTCATGACAAATCTCCAAATTTTCTCTGTTTGAGACATCACTGCTGAAATATCTTTTTAACATACAATATGTGCCCTACAAATGGTCTCAACACAATTTCCATCAATTCAAACATATGTTGTTATCTCTAGAAGTTAGACATATCTCCCTCGGTTAAAGGTGGAACAATTAGTGCAGATCATCGACCAGTGTCAAAATATATTTGAGTTTGGATATTTCATCAAGACTAACAACATGTTTTTATAATCTACAAAGAAACCCCCTGGATGAACATTATTTCAGCTGATATTCCTCTTAAAAATTTATAAGTGTGACTCCCTTTATCTGTTTATAGCAGCTTTGAACTGAATTTACACTTCTTGATGCTGGAATTGATAGTTTATCCATACATTTTCAGAAAATAGGTATGTCAAAGGAGACGTTAAGCCAAATATTGACCTGATAGCTCAGAAAAATAAAACATTTTGAAATTTCTCTCTAGAGTCCTTGTTGCCCCTTTAATATAGCTAACTGACCTCAGCTTTTTTTCAAAATTTTATAATAGATGTGTAAAATGTCTTCCTTAATTCTAAGTTTAATATAAACCAACCCTACTTGAAAAAGCACTGCATTTTTAATAATACTAATGCCAGTTTCACCACCAGGTGGCTAACTTGGGGTAAATAGCATGCATGGCAGGTATAACAGAAAGCTCCATTAAACTTGAATGTTCATCAGTTGATCAATTTTCATATTTAACTTCTTGAATTCTGAATATTTAATGATGTAAATCAAGTATTTCTATCTCATGTATCTAGACAATTGATCAACATTGAATATATCAAACCAATTGTCTGCATTTTGCTAATATTATGGAAATGATTATATGGTTATAGCTATCATATTGTGAGAGAAATGGTCTGGCCAGGAATGTCCCTTTAATGAGCCAATATCTCTTAATGGAATGACTTTGAAAAAATGTTATGACTTATTGTTACAGTAACACTGAATAATTTACTAGTAAGAGCGCTGGATGGGTAACCAATATTTTCCCCTCTAACTAACAAAGGACACCTATAGTATTTGACTTGTCTTTCCTAGAATAAGTTAAAAATACTTAAATGTCTTAGGGTGTTTCATGACCTACCACAAATTATTTGCATGAGTAAACTGACTGGGATATTTCTAGAATTTTTAATTCCCAATCTTTCATACTTTCAGACCTATTAAAATAATGAATTTTAATGGTCATTAAGAACCCCTACTAGGCTAAGAGTGTTGCTGGTAAATATATATTACATGAAGTCTAGTTTACAAACCTCTATGAATTTAATGGAAGTAGTGTATCCATTGGTGTTGACATTTTTCCACCATCTTCATCATCGGGATTGCATGGACATCAATTGAAAACCTTCTAGTTCTAGTATAGGCCTAAGTCTCTAATTTCTGTCATGTCTTATTCTTTCATCTGCAAGAATCACATATACATGTATATATATTGATTGCACATTGGATGTGGTGAATATTTTAAAAGTACTGTACATAAAAAGTGTTTTTAGTTTCAATTTGTAGACCCAAAATTGAGACAAATCAAGTCTTAAATCATGTATTAATTATTTGGGTATTTCTTGGTTTTATTTACAATAGGCCTATATAATAACACTACATGGCTTAAAGTCTTCAGGAATTTCAGGAAAAATGGACCAAAATCTAACCTCATTGAGTATTTGAGTTCAATACAAATCTAAATTTATTTTTAGGGGGGGGGGGGGGGGGGAGTCAAGCAAGGGTTTCAAAATAAAGGTCATATTTGTAAATATTTTCCTAAGATAACAATTTTTCCTCCAAATTAGAAAGTAAATATAATGGGTCTACATTACTTTCAAAAGCACTCAATCAGTTTTTCAAAAATTTCTTGGGAGAGGAAAAAATCCAAAATAACATAATATTATGGAAACCGCAGATATTAGGCCTACCGCAGATATTATTAAAGATTTGGTTTAGATACGTCAAATTGATTTTGGTATTTATGTTTGTCATTTGAATAGGCCTAATTTATTTTTCAAGGAATTTCATCACCTAGTAAAGTACTTCTAACATGTCTAGATCTATGAAGGAAATTGATCTAGAAAAAAGGCCAAGATTCACATTTTTAGCATCGTCAAGGATATGACAATTGAATTTGCGAAAGAAAAATTGAGAGTTTGACTTTGATATCGAAGGAAAATATTGGTACACATCCTTACTTTTATTTTATCGACATTTTAGATTCATTCATTACCATATTTGGTATTGAAAGGAGTCAAAGTGGCTCGTGGACCCATATTTGTGATCCCAGACCATATAAAGTCCGCTCGATGAAGAAAAATACAAGGAGTTGGGCTTAGCAACTGCACATGCAATGAGATAGGACCATGCTCCATAAGAAATAAGAATATGAAAAAAAAACATAAACATCCTTAGCACACAGACGCTGAAAACTGAAAAATCATTCGGAAAAATGGACCAAAAATAACCCACAAAATTATTGATAAATTTTACAGATTGAATGCAATATTGATCAAATTTTGACATTTGTTCAACCATACCATGGTCCTAACATAGACGAAAGGATATCTTCCAAAACCAAAGGGACGCTGGTATAATTCAACGAACGCTTGCCGTAAGAAAACACGTGTACATATTTTGATCAACTCCAAGTGGATTTTTTATAAAAAATATCCAGAAATGTCCATATAATCTGATATCATTCTAAAGCTATTGATCCCAGGAATACAAATAATTAGTTCATTTGAATCTTACCTCAATACAACTGAAGATATTGGGAGAAATGTGCGGAGCGTGCACATTCCGGTTTCCATTTTAGGAAGTGTCGTGGCGTCTCATTTCTTGTTATATCCGGGTCAATACGTTGCATAGCAACTCTCATTGTACGTGCGTCTCTGACGTGAATATGATAGCTTTCGCGCACCACATAAAGTTTGCGCTTCTACAGCGTATTTAAGAACCTATAGATCATTTTCCAATGAGTAAGCTCTCAACCATTTCAAACTGGCAAGAGACATGGCCGAAAGGGTTCCGCGGAGTAATTCTTCCCCTGGCGATATCAGTCAACATTAGGCCATCATGGAAGTTTCCAATCCAGAAATATTTTTCCAACTTTTCCCACAAAAACAATATTTTATTCCTTTTTCAATGTGTAGTATCATTATACAAAATACTCAAATTCTAACTACTTTTTCTCTGAATTGACAGTGAAGGAAGGCCTTTAGCTAGTGACTCAGGTATCAATATAGATTACCAGCCTTCACAAATGAACAGGAAAATGAATAAAATACATATTCACTTGCAGTTCTAAATGTAGTACATATTCATCTGGAGCTTTAAATGTACTACATATTCATTTGCAGCTTTAAAGGACCTTATACACCCTCCATTGGGATCTCCCCATGGGAAAAAAATAATTCATCTGATTTTTCAAAATGAGTATTCTGCTTCAATTATTACATTTATTAGCACACTAGTATCTTGTTGACCTATATTCAGCACTGTATTGATGTATAGGCCACTTATTAGGGTCATAATTCAATCATGAAGTGTAGAGGCATAGATTCCAAACCAGGAAGTATTTTTGTGTCTGTCAAAATCCATTTACATCCTACGCATCCCTGCATCTTATCCAAATATGTTACTACATAATGAAATATAATAGTATAATCTTTGGTTTTACAAACTTGTATGATATTTGATAAGTGTAAAAGTTGTTTTTGGAGCATTTTTCTATAGCCATTTTGTAGGGAAAAAAATGATGAAAAAATGTACAATCTTTTAATTTTAAGTATGACCTGAATCGATTGCAAACTTCATATTTGCACATTTGATGAGATAAACCATTTGTGTCGTATTGTGAAATTATTAAGTTAAATAAGTTTGCAATCGATTCAGGTCATAGTGTATTTTTGGTATTTCTGTCATAATCAATGGAAACCAATGGCCTCTATTGGGATCTGCTGATATCCTCATGTTAAGTCAATGGTGCACAGCCTAGTGTAAGTCAATACAACCTTACTGAACGAAATGATCCCTATCTCAGCTTATGTGTGTCCGAGCACTTTAATATTTTCCAAAGTATTATATGACATTTTATTCTTCATGTTACACCTACAAATGATTCATTTTGACCATAGGGGTATTTGCCAATAATTGCACCTTGTCCTTTGCTACATATTTCACCTGCAGCTTTAAATGTACTACATATTTACTTGCGGCTTTAAATTTGCTACATATTTCAGTTGCAGCTGTTTAAATGTACTACATATTCACTTGCAGCTTAATGTACTACATATTTACTTTTTTTTTATTTATTAAAATCATATTAATATATTTACATAATAATCATAAAGACACCCCAGGGGGTGTATGGCTTATCACAAGCTAGAACATTTTAAAATTGCATATCATTAAGTTGTAATTCTTAATAAATTGTTTTAAATTTAGGTGCATATACTCTTGAATTTACAATGTGTCAATCAAAATTTAAATCAAGTAAGCCAAGCTGGTATACAGTATAATTAAAATGTTTAACAGGATATAGTTGAAAGATATAAAATTGATATAAAATTGAACTTGCAGCTTTAAATTTACTACATTTTCAATTGCAGTTCTAAATGTACTACATATACACGTGCAGCTTTAAATGAACTACATTTTCATCATTTACTTGCAGATGAACTACATATTTACTTACAGATGTGCTACATACTTACTTGCAGCTTTAAATTTGCTACATTTTCAATTGCAGCTTTAAATGTACTACATATTCACTTGCAGCTTTAAATGTACTACATATTCACTTGCAGCTTTAAATGTACTGCATATTGAATTGCAGCTTTAAATGTACTACATATTCACTTGCAGCTTTAAATGTACTGCATATTTACTTGCAGGAGCAAATCAAAAGAGAGCTTAACACCAGTTACCCAAACACAATTGGCCAAATAGTACTAAAAAATGCTGACCATAAGTAAGTCATAATATAGAGATCAAAGGTCAAATTTATTATACATCATTCAGGAAAATGCACATTGCTCTATACTGTTTGAAATTAAAGTGTTTTTTGTGAAAAAATTGAAATCAGTGATGTCATTTTTTAATTGATGTAAAGTGTTTTATATGTGATATAAGAAATTAAAATCATCGTTCAAAACAAAGTAAGATTTGAATAAATACTAGTAATTAATAATTAATTAATGATAAATAAGATTTTGTTGTAAAAATATCACATACGAGCCAGTGCCCAATGAATGGTGGATTTAGCTCATTTTACCAAATATCATCTTTTGAGGAAATGTGCGACAGTTTGTTAAAACTATAATTTTAATTCTTTATTAGAGTTTATCAGATATTCTAACGAAACCCATGAGAAATTGATAATAGAATGATTGTAATTAATTTTCAGCAAAAATAAGATGGCGTTTGTAGAAGTGCGAAACAAAAAGGTGGGGGATGGAATCATTGCTGATTTGAACGCTTCCATGATTCAAGAGCACAGGGTCATAGTGACCTGGTCTAAAGCCTCTGTCAGCCAATTCAATCACAACCCATTGAAACTGCAGGTTCATATAGGAAACATCCCTTCTAGTTTAAAAAAGGTAAGATAGATATGATAGTGCAATACAATTATTATTAGAATTGTCGGCTTTTGGCATCTGCAAAAAAATAGCATGTGGTGAGATTTTGCATGTTAATGCCTTGTATTATTTGTATAATAGCAATTATGTGAGAAGGCAATCCAGTCTGCTTCATAGGTGATATTTTCGGGATACACTGTATCAAGTTCCAGATTTGATTAACTTTTGAATGGCCTTTTTGAACTCTGGCAGCCATTTTGATTTAATAATCAAATAATTATTTTCCAATCCAAACTATTTAATTGTCCGGGACGGATATAGAAAACCCATCCATCCTTCTGTATGTCCAGACATTTACTCAAATACTGGTTGATGGATTTGGTTCAAAGTTGGATGATACCTTATATGGGCATAATAAAGATTAATTATCCTAACGAACGAAGTATGGAAGGGATATATCCATCAGTCAGTCTGTCAGTCCGTCCATTTTTTAGGGGCTTAGCGTCAAACAAGATGGTTTTTCTTCATATTTGGTGAAAAGATGTATCTTGTTTTGCTCAATAGATTTATGTCAGATTAGTTCATTGTTTTTTAGAATATACTTTTTGAGATAGATATTGTTCAGCACTCCTTGCTTTTTTTATTAATATGTTTATTGTTATTACTTTTATTTGCAGGATGACATAAAGAAGTTGGTTGAAGAATTTGGGCCAGTGTCAAATATCAGTTTAAAGTAAGTATAAGACATATACATACATGATACATCTACAATTGTTAGCTCAGCCTGGATTTACTTCACTACCCATATTGTTTTTCCTTTTTGCCCATTTGCCTCTTCAGCCTAAAAGTTATTGACGTGATCTGAACAAACAGGGGAAATGTGTGAATTGATTGAAATGATTCAATTATGTATGTGATGTATTATGTAATGAAGAGAATTACAAGTAGACTCTTTGTAGAATGAATTGTAGAATGATTATGACGAAATGTTATATTATTACAGAAAGGATGTGGACTTTAATTTCTCTTTTGTGGATGTAGACACTGAATTGATTGCTCGCAACATTATAGCAGGTCTTAACCATAAATCTGTGCAGGGTAGACAACTCCGTGCAGACTTCAGCGCAAAGGGACATCAGCTTTTAAGAAGTAAGGGGATAATTATCCCACCAACGAAGTTTGAGGGGGATATGAGAAAAAATGTCCGTTTATCCGTCTGTTCGTCTGTCTGTACCGATTTGTTCAAAAAATAATTTTTAAGATGGCGGCTCAATTTCAAAATGGCTACCATTTTTCATATGAAAAACTTAATCTTTGATAACTAGTTGACGGATTTGGATCAAATTTTGTATGATAATGCCAAGAGACACAGTACCTCTGTTTGACAAAGAATTTTCAAGATGGCAGCTGAATTTTAAAATAGCCATTTTTCGTAAAAAAATGTAATCTTTAATAACTCAAATAGCAGTGAATGGATTTTGTTCAAATTTTATATGCTGATGCCTAGACACACTGTAGCTCTTTCCAAGAAAAATGGCGGCTGAATTTCAAAATGGCTGCCATTTTCGTAAAAAAGGTATGTAATCTTTGATAACTCAATGCTAATTGACGGATATGGTTTGCATTTTATATGTTGATGCCTAGGGACAAACAAGCTCTGCTCAAGAAGGAAATTCAAGATGGCCACTAATTATCAAAATATGTTTTGTTCGTTGTGATTTGCTACTCCATGGAGTTGCTGTTTTTCTAGTAAGAATTGACAAATATTATTTTTTATTTCTGTTTTAGTGTAGTCTGTATATGTGCAGTCTAAAATATTGTAGTTGTTGAGTTTTAAGCATATGTGCTTTCTTATTACTTTAGTCTTACATATAGTCCTGAAGCATGTATGCCCACTTATTCTGTAGTGTGTAGATAAGTAGATTGGCTCAGGTCTCTTGTGTTAAAGTAATAGCTCACATACAGAAGTGGAACAAAAGTGAGCTTTTTCCTTGATGCAGGCAATTGCTTTAAATCTGAGTCACTCAATTGCCATCCTTCTGTCCATGTACAACTCATATCCTTATATACTTGCATATTTTGACTTTTTGAATAACTACACTGTTGATGAAACATTATGAAAATATGATTTCAGAGTTAGGCACACATGTCCATGATGAACAAGACAGTCTGCACTCAACAGAATCAGGAGGTAAAGACCAGGATGTAACAAACAGCTTAGACACTTCATTAAGTAAGCAGTCAGTGAAGAACATTTTACCAAATTCTAGTCACGTGTCAATAGATTCAAGGCAGCCATCTGCTCCGGAAACTAGTCGTTCTAAACTACTGCGAAGCATTCTCACTAATTCTAAACATGATACTCAAAATGAACAGTGCCAAGCCAAAGTGGCAAATCCTAGAGCAATGAAAATGGAGACACCGGTAGAACAGAATGGACTTTTAGATTCAGAGGCTGCCATAGAGAATGCTTCAGACCACGGAGGCCATCATCAACATAACTGGAAATCTCATCAAAACATATCAGACATTCAACAGGTAAATAAACAACTTCCTTTGATCATTATTTCCTCAACAGATCATCATTTTACTTGACTTCAATCATTCAGCCATATCAGGATAGCTTTAATCAAGATTCAATAGAGCCTCAAACGGATGGTACTTTAATCAAGATTTAGTGGAGCTCAATTCTGTACTTGATATAGCAGAGATTCAGTTTAGCCCTTATCATTGTGATTCACATGGTTTATGTTCATAATTTTATTCATAATGAACCATATGCAACTTACATTGACAGTATCATGTGTTGCAGGTATTAGGTAGCACTGTGCCTATGCAGAGTAAATGTAAAACAGCAGTCCAGCTATGTCAGCGAGCACAAGTTTTCATGTCGGAGGCCCTTGATGACTGCCCATTCTGTCAGAAAACTAACCAACTTGTAAGTTAAACATTTCATGAATGATGAGCTAATACTAAACCTTATAATATGGAATTATAATTAATGTAGATCGAGGCAATTGAACTTTTGTTCCCTATTTCTGTGATAATTTTCCGATGTAAAAAGGAAGATGCAATGAATATCAGAATGCATAGACATTAGACATGTACATCATTTAGCACACTAGTATTATGTTAAAAAGTGTTTAAATCAAACTTATTGTTCGAGGATCAAACAATTTTATTGCACTTTGAAAAAGTGAATCAATTCTTGTTTGTTCATTTGGCATAGAGATCTGTAGGATCTTTCAAATAAAGCAAGTCTTGGGTTGAAGAAAGAAATGGATCGACTCAAATAAGTCAGAACAATCATTTTTGTATCAAATCTAGTCCCTTTTTATGAGCATATAATTTCATATATTTGTTGGATGTCAAAATGTGAGGTTAATAGTATGTTGTTATTTCAGATGAACGACCTGCTTCTACTGCTTCAAGACATGAATGAACAGGCACACAGTGATAGAGTGGCTAATAACACCTGACACAATGGAGGGAAATGGTAGTGTTGAACTTCCACAGTGAATCCAGATGAAGTTGTTAAGAGTAAAGGCTTGAATTCATTGTGTTATCAAATTATGGTTTACAAGTAGAAATCCTGTATTAGCAACATTACAAGGTGACCTAAAAAATGCCACCCACTAATTTTGGAATAACTCTCTCTGTATAATAATAAGGAATCTACATGATTTTTTGTATGTAGATAGAGTGTTCAATGGAACAAAGATTGTTGTACTTGGATAGGATCAATGACTTTCAAATTTAGAGATATCACACTTCCCGTCCAGGCATGCTTTCAGTGAAATCATCAAAAAATGATCAAAAATACAATTTTCTGAAATTGAGATTTCTGTATTAGCCATTCTTTAATCATTTTTGGATTATTTTCACATATATTATCAATAATATTCTTGTCAAATTTGATGAAATGACTGGTTTATTAGGTAAATTCTAAGAGACAGATTTTCTTATTTACAATTTTGAGTGATTTTTTGTCAGAGCATGCCTCTGCTGAAAATGAGATATCTCTTAATTTCCAAGATGTTGATGCTATGCAAGCACTGCAATCTACACATAAAAAATCATGAAGATTCTTTAATTATTGAGAGAGTTATTCCAAAATTAGTGGGTGGCATTTTTGGGTCACCCTGTATTATCTGTCAGGAATAGGATGGTGTTCAAATAAGTTAAGAGCATATGAAAAGCCAGCCTCTTGGTTCATAAGCTTGAAACACAATAAACAAGACTTTGGATCTACTTTCTAGAAAAAGAAGTTTTAGATTTGTATGGGAATGGAGAACTATTTTGTTACTGACAAATTCTGAAATTTAATGTTATTTTTGTTATACATGGTGCTATTTAGTTAGTTATTCAATGCAAACCATGACATAAACTGTGAAGGATGAATGCATTATTGGAATAATAATATGTCACTCATTCTATGATTTTTGAGAAAGCAATAGAGTGAAACATGAATGATGTTTCAGTGTTTAGTTATGACAAGTTGCTATGTGCAATATAAACAATAATATTTAGTATATGTTGCAATGTGATACAGTGTCAGGTTTAATAAGTATGTAAATATGAAGTTGAACTTGATTAACAAGTTGACAATGACACAAACATTATTTTCTAATGTTGTCATCGTAGAAAACCTACACGTATCTAATATCTGCTGGATAATCAACATTACATGAAAATACAAGAAATACCAACTACATACATGTAGCTTAGATTTCATCTGCTGATGGCTTATAATGGCACAAAACTCTGCTCAAGGATGAATTATTAAAGATGGTGACAACCTAATTAAATTCAAAAATTCAGAATTAGTTGCCTTTGATGTTAGGGAAAACGGCATACATTGGCAATTCACAACCACATTTTATCTAGTAAAGTAGTATTTTTATAAAATACACAATCACAAGAACTTAATACTTGCACAGAATTAGTGCCAATTTATTAGGTCACCTGAAGTGAGAACCAAGCGATTAAAGAGTTGATATTAGACAATGGAATCTGACATTTGACTACAGTGTTACTACCTCAAGCTATGGTGATATATTTTTTACTCTGTTTTGATACTACATATATTTTATTCAAATCATCAATATTGCATTTTGATGGAATGAAAATGAAGCTAAAAGTTGTTCTGTATGATAACATTTTAAGAAGATGCTAAGAAGTAAATCATTGTTCTAAATGTTACAAACAACAATTTATTTTTGTGGTAAACATCATAGAAACCTTCTTATCTGAATGCCACTTGGACTGGTGTCACTAGTGAATACAGTGCCTTGAGATAGTACTTATTGTCATGGTTCCCATATATTTAAATGGTGATTACAGAGTGACCAATGAAGTGGCCCTCGAATTATCTCAAATAACTTCTGAACTATATGTGGTGTGAATTCCTTTTTGTGTACTTTATCTGTTTATTGTGAAAACTCCTAATTTTGATCATCTGCATGAATGTTTTGAAAAGTGCCCAAAAATATGGACTTCATATAATGCGGAAAAAAACTTTTTAGTATCTATGAGATTTTCCTCTATAAATACTTCTTATTTAGCACAACTGTGGCTCAATCAATACCTGACCATATCTTGTCTATCTTGGACTTGTCCACAAATAGTTTAGTAGTTATAAGAGATTATTTGGGGCCCACTTTTTTGGGTCATTCTGTTGTTTTGCATATTTCCTGGGGGACAACATTATTTTTCACACCCGGACTTCATGTATGAAATTAGATAGAAAATTTTGAAACACAGGTTTTACCTGACATGTACTTAATTAACTTTTAGTTAGTGTCAATTTGATTGAAAATAAGGAGTTTCTTTTCAAGTAGTAAAAGGCAAAATAGAGAAATAATAAGGGGTGACAAAATTCCCTGAGACCTTAATTTCTTGTTAAGTCTGAATGAAGTGCAGAAGTCCAATGTGCTTCAGCCTTAATTATGTAATATAATATAAGTATGTAAGTTTAATATTCAAAACAATGTATTTGAAGCAATGTATTGAAACATTTAGTTGTCCACCATTGCCTTGTTAGTTAAGTTATTTTGATATGAAAGATATCACCCTTATATGTGTTCAACATTGACTTTGTATTTTAGTACATTAGTATCAGTGTTAAATTCTTGAATGCATTTACTGTATGTAGATAGCATACACTGTATGTAGGTAGTGTACATGTACACTGTATGTAGGGACATACATAGGGGTTATGCACTGGGAGGTTTTGGATACAGGGAAGATATATTGTATATCCCAAGGGATATTCCCTGTATCCAAACCGACCGTGCATAACTGGTGTATCTCATACTTGAGTGGGTTTAGGGTAGATATAACCTTTTCCACCTTTTTCAAATGACAAGATATTTATATTTAACATTTTCGTACTATTCTTTTTGTTCAATACAATGAAATTGTAACATTTAAACTTAAAAAAATTAAATTTTAAAATTAAAAAATTAAAACTTTTGATATTTAAACTTTTTTAAACTTTTGAAAAATTCCTGGGAGCGGGATAGATATATTATATCTGCCCACATTTGGCCTGGAGCGGGACATATACAATATATCCTGCTCGCTCCTCAGATACGATATATATTCCCGGGTGATATATACCCCAAACCCACTCAAGTATGAGATACAAGTGTATACAGTATGTACCAGTTACTTATTTCCAGTATTGCATGGCACCCCTGGATCTCTTTTAACTTATTTTTTCGGCATTAGGTGATATGTTTTTGTAGAATAATTTTTTACATTTTACAAATAAATAAAATAAATTCAATAATAACATCTCTCTGTTTGATATTATTGCTTGACCTCTCTTGAAACCCCTGTAATTAATAATGTAATGTAACGCATGAAGGGCAACATGTGAGGAATATTCAAACGATGGGTCCCTAGAAATATCAAAAGTAAGTCAACAAAAGCAATAAATACATTTTGATCAACATACATCAGACTAAGCCTATATAGTTTACTCTTGTTTTCAATTGTGAAAGTGACTTATACTATAAAAAGTTATTCAATCTCCTATGTTGATACATCCAATGAGGTTTGGTGACTTTCCCTGAACTTTGGCTGTTATCTCTGATGGACAGGAGTATCTGTTATGGAGTATATAGGGTAAACAGTTCATTCTACATTTCAAACTGCTAATTAATTGACATCATAAATGTGATAAAGTATGTTCATCCTGTCTGATGATTGAATGATGAAAATGATTGATGTTTATGACTGGGCCAGATATTGTCAATGTTCATTATTTAGACTATTGAGAACCATGTGCATGCACAAACTACAAAGGGTAACATTTGAAGAGTAAATCAACTCCACTATTAAATATGATGCAAGCCATGAACAACCATTGAGTCAATGTTTTGGTGATAAAATAGGTTACAAAGTACCAAGTCACTGGATAAACCACCGAAGAGGGTACACAAAATTCTATGGATAGTCGCCATATACCCGAGAGCATCGTACATAATACTGTATATGTGGTAATTTTGCCTAATCATTTAATTTGCCTATTGCCTAATTTCTGCTAGGTTCAGAAAATTAAATGTCGGAAATATTATTTTCATAATCTTATCCAATGGGATGTTCCTTGTCATTTAATTAGGAAAATTTAAATTCGGAAAATCATAAAAGACCATTTGGCAAATCAACCACTCGGATTAAATAGCACTTATACAGTAGCTGTGGATGAAACAAAATCATAATATTAGAAAGGGTAGTCACCATACCACACTGGACATATTTTATGATATTATATCTGATTGATATTGTTTATTTATGAGAAGATAAGAAAAATGTAGTTACTCTCTGTTAATGAATTATAAACCACTCAACATTAATGATTTATTTCTGAAAAAAAGAAGTCCAATGTAACACATTAACCTTTGGCTCTGATTAGCAGTAATGAACTCATCTTTACACTCTACCTTACAAATATTATGATAAACAAAATGGTACATTAGTGATTTAGTTCTGAATTAAATATTTGCAAATTGATATTTCCTTTCCTTATCTCTCATTCATGCATCCAATCTAGTACAAAGATTCACTCTACTGGTATATATTATATCATTGGTTTTGAAAATACACTGTATAAAATTGTAAGGATTGATCTAAAAACTACTTTGGTCTTTGTACTGTACCTAGTACCACTTGGTCTCACCTGATCATAGTTATCATAACACATCAGATTATAACATTGATGAATAAAAAATAAAACTGCCATTTCGAGTGAACAGAAGCTCTTATACTAAATTCATCGTCAGAGTTCCCTATCATATAAAGAGTACATTATGGCAAAACCTCCTGCTTTTTACACTGTGAAGATTGGACTAGCTGCAATTGCACTTGGGACGGCATTTGCAATTGTATCATTAGCAACGCCAAGATGGGTTACCATAAGCGTCCAGAATCAAACTGATGATTATTTATCTCATAGAGGACTATGGCAGGAATGTGGACGGACTAATGGTACTTCATATACATGCCAGGCGACAACATCTATGTCAACATGTGAGTCATATAAGAGAATACGAAAAAGGTTGACTTTTTATCTTTTTAAAAACTTGCTACGTTAAAATTTACTCCACAGTACCCTTTTGCAAGTTACTATGACAACAACTTCATGGCCAAATGTCAATATATTAATATCTCCGTTGAAATATTTGGATAAATCATATTAGAAAATAAAGGTTTAAGGGGACAATTGGCTTTACTAATTGGCTTTGAACTACCTGTATATCATTGAATAGATTAACTTTCATTATTACTGAGATGATTATTTAGCCAAGTCTGAGAATGAAAATCACAAAATGAAATAAATATACTAAATAATTTCAATGGTATAATATTGAATGTAAGTTTGTCAATAAATAAAGAAGTTGAGTTTCACGACTGATGAGTTGAGCTTCACTTGGAATTGTCTTCACTGGGTAGAGTTGACTTGAGGTTGAGATGACCCATTACCAAGAATACAACTGACTCTATATTGCATGCCCATCAGAAGTAACATATTATTTGGCATGATTGTAATGGTCTGACTATGTGCTTTGTACGTTACTTTTACTTGCAGCTCATGCATTCAAAGCAGCACAAGCCATGAGCGTGTTGGGCGTGGTCGGGTTCTGCGTTGCTTCTGCACTCTTCATCGTTGTCAATTGTAGAAACAGCAAGCTAGAAACCTCTGAGAATCTGTTCTTTTTCCTGGCTGTGGAATGTGTAGGATCAGGTAAGTACAAACATAACTTTGCCAGAGCTGTAGATTATATACCTCCTTGCTTTTGCACAACATCTGTCATTTTTCCCTGAACAAAGATTATTGTTGCTGCTGATACATGTGTGCTGCTGCTGATAATCAATACAAAAATATATTGTTTGTTTTCAGCTATATTCACTTTGATTGGACTTTGTATATACGGGTCATTATTTGGACAGTCGTTTCAAGGAGGCCGTCTTGACCATGCTCGATTGGACTTTGCATTTTACTTTGGAATGGTATCAGTTTTATTGGGAATATTATCTGGTGCACTTGCAAGATGGTCCGTACCTGATCCAGAACCTGATGATTTTGACAGTATACTTGCAGAAGAGGACAGGAAGCGACCAGAAGGGACAGGGAATCAATATGAATTGCCTAACTGAATATGAATTGCCTAACTGAAACATTAACAGTGATTTCATCAAGCACTGACTTATAATTTATTATTTGTAATTTAACTATTAAAACAGCCCATCTGAACATGGAGGAATTATCAATGACTTGTTTTATAATACAATAGGCCTATATAAGTATGATTGTCAGTTAGTTGAATGTTCAAAAGCATTTGGATTTCTAAGCTAATTGAGGTCTGTGCACAGAGGTACACTGTATACAAACCCACAAATTACTTATAATTTTGTTGCTCTATCATCAGTTTGTCAGTTTATCATGAAGCATAATATTTGACAACTGGCATAGATGGACCTTGTAAGAGCACTGATAATATTATTTATTTTTACTGGAACTCGAATCGAAAGAGGGGAATGTGTTCAAATGCAATAAAGATGAAAACAACATACGTAGTGTAATGTTTACATAGGAAAAACTCATGCTATCCATTGTTTTCAGCCTAACTTTGGTCAACTTTGATATCTTCCAAATTAAACTTAAGATGTCATTCTTCATTTGAGGATGTTTCCCATAAGAATAACTCAAGTTATCCATTGTTGACAAATTCAAGCCTTTAGATGGCCTTTTTGGATTTTCCGAGACACAGATCAGACACCAAATACAATATTTGATATCTACCATAGGATACCTTGATTTGAGTACACCAAAGCCATATTTTGAAAGAATTTTATATGTTTTACCTTTATGTTACCAAAGCTTTATACAGTTATATTTTTCCATTTTGAAAAAAATTACCATTATACAACGTATTATATATATAAAGAAAATTGGACTACTAGCGTTTGAGTTATAAAACTATTTGAGCTTCAATTTATCCATACTAAAATTCATTTATTGGGATAACTTAAATCTTATAATGCAAGTTCCTGTCAGTTGTAACTAATGTACTTTACATAAATACTGTGTGTCAGTTCTATATACAAATTATTTATATTTACAAAAATAGTTAACAGCAAATATTATTGAGAGGTTTTAGAGAAGAAATATTTGTTACTGGAAACATGTAATTGAAGAAGTCATATTACATGATGAACTTTTATATCTTCAGTATCATAAACATTTCCTGTGTTTAACTTCAAATAGTATTGCACATAATCCAATGTTTGTATCCAAGGGAGGGAGCATTAAGGCTGAAGAAGCAATGCCACCATACCCAATGTCTAATGTCATTCAATTGTCAATATTTATGAAAGATGTCACAGCCTTTGGATTTGTATCTGGAACTTACCTGAAACAAGAATACACATTAATTAGTATTTTTGCAAGAAAAAAATGACTCATATTTTATCAAAATCAGAAGCAGTATTTGTACATTTTATTTGACTTATTCCTCTGAGCAAAGTGGACTAAAAGTGAGAAGGCAACATAAATAAAACAATAACAGAATTACTGAAATGTACATAGTGTTTAGAATGTACATTATGTGTGTCTTGAAACATTATTGGATTAAGTTTTATACAACTTGTAAAGATGTCGCTCTTAGTGTATAAACTTGTATTATGGCATAAGACGTGTGCCAGCCATGCCTGAGAGAGGGCGCTGTCATATTGGATTTAATAAAGCCTTAAAACAATTTGCTGCATCTGTGAATTACTTTGACTTAACAAGTAATAAGAATGTTACATTTATCATCTGTGTCCATGCATGATTTGGGGCAACTTCTAATTTAAATTTTTTTAATTGTTCCAACTCTTCCAATAAGCTTAAAATTAAAGGCACAACAAGGACTGTCAACATAGAATTTTCTTTCATTACCATTTTTGCGCTCTCAGATTTTTATGCCACGATTAAGTAGGCACATCAAGTTAATCATGTAGTCTCTTGAAAAGTGGCACACTCTTAGATGAGTTAGACATGTGATAACTTACATGCAGGCATAGCACTGACTTCTGCTGTTACTACGGAGACTATACCGAGTCCAGACAATGCACCTCTAATCAACCCACAAGGCATGGCGAGATACTGAAATTAATGATAAATGAATTACACTTTATGGAATTCATTTGTATATCACATAATTTGTCATTAAAAACATTTGTTTGTTAAAATACAAATGTCAAATTTCCATTTCAATTCAATTTATTTTTCAATAACAGTTCATGAAAGAACAGAGTAAAATGATATCAGTGAATCAATGTGAATTGTCTGAAAATGGCCACATTTATATTATTTGATTTCGATATCTTTCAATACAGGCATAGATTTACAAAATGGTATGTAACGCATTTACAACTATATTGTGAAGGTAGATGTATTTAATACTTTAATAATCAGGGCTAAGTAAAGGCAAATGAAAGGAAGACAATTGCACCCAATTCAAATATGCCAAGTGTGTCTCAGCCAATCAGCTTTGAGTATTTCAGTGTTTTAATTTAAGGTATATGGTCAATTGAGCAGATAAATTATTTTACAGTTCATAAAGAAAATTTTCCGAATACAATACTTACCCTTGGTGCCATGTCCATGTACTGTTTCCCCTGGGAGATAAGGGTGAGGAGTTTAAACCTGTTGTCTTGTAACACATATACACCCTGAAACATACAAGTCATTTGTTTTAACTTAAACACAAGAGGGGAGAATGACCTCTCATCATACATGGCCCTATCTTTGTGTAAAGATGAACCTCTATTTTGATGATGTAAAGCAATGAGCAGATGAGGTAATGATAGCTCAACTATGAACTATAGCCACACTTTTCCTTCTCTTACAAAGCTCTATGAAAATTCCTCCACTTGTGATATTCTATGTGATATTCTATGATTTATAATTAGGAATTCCTATTTGGTTATGTTTTCTTGCGACTGTATTTTTGAACTTTACCTGGTGATTTGTTCTTAGATTATCTATCTGTTTCTTGTAAAGAGTCATCCAGAAATCTTTGCAGATAAACTTCATTGTGTCAAGGTCATCTTTGAATCTAGGGTTGTCCTTTGTTAGTCTAGAAAAATTTAATTAACATTTAATAATATGCATGGATTTTGGATCCCTTAATGATCATTACTGTATACCAGGCTATGTGTAAATGTTCCCAGTTAATAAGCCTTTACCAGTGTTCTCCAAAGAAATTTTTCTCAAGGAGTTGCAAAATTCTCATTTTCACAATTCAGACAAAATTCAGACAGAATATGCCCACTTTTCATCATTTTCCTCATTTTCAAGTGGATGCAAATTGATTTTTAGGTGGGTGCAAGTCTGTTTTTAAAATCTAAGGTGGGTGCTGTACCCACTTGCTTTAATGTTGGGGAGATCACTGCTTACTCATGTCATGTTACACGTTTAGTATCTGAAAATCGTTATAAAATAGACTAAGCATTTTAAATATAAATTGCTAAGAGTACCCTTAAGCATTTTAAATTAGAGACTCAAAATGTCAGAAAAAATGAAAAGTTACATGGCAGAATACTTGCCTTTCAACGAGACTTAGGCCTATTCTGTACCCTAGTGCTTCTAATTTGCTAATTGAGGAAGCCTGGAAAAATAAACATTAGTCTAAAGATTATCACGCCCGGTGATCGTACAAAATGGATGGTGATTTCTGCAAGAAAACTCAACAAATTTGCAAGAGAAAATTTACGACTGAATTGCCAAATGAATAGGCGCAGTGCATGGCAAAATATGTTAGGTCATCTAGTATTTTTTTGAACTGATGCCCTTCTAAGATATGAGATCTATTAAAAAAGGCGCATCATCACCAACGTGCAAAAGTCAATGTTTTTGCTATAAATCGAGCAACAATGGTCTACACGACCTGTAATAAATAGGTATAAGGGACGTTATTATCACAATACTAATGACATTGCTCACTTTTTAATGTTAGTTTCCATGCGTTATACAAAAAATAATCGAAATGAATTAATATTGGATGGAGAGGGGGGACTGGATAGAGGGGGGATAACGTGTATATAAGATATGATAAGACAAGCTACTTGAATTTATTCTTATGACTCCAAATTTTCCCATTTTTCATTCTCCAGAGATATAATATCCAGTTTCTTACTCACTGTGGTACTGAGTTTAGTTTTTTCAAATACACGAGTTCTTGTGAATTTGTTCCATCCTAAAGACATATAAATCCCACCTCCACTCCCCCTCACCCCGGTCCTAAGTTTGATTCCCCCATGGGGCATTGAATTAAGCACACTTGCTTTCAATTTCTTTATCTGGTTTGTTACACTGAGCTACATGTAGTAAGTTAATCATTCCCCTGGGACCCCTTGGGTCATTTCACTACTGTAGTTTCATTTAATGGTATTTAACTCAAGTGAACCTAACTTTAAGTTCATTTAGGTCCCTACTCAAGACCTCAATATAATTAGCACATTTGATCTGGAAATCGCCTAAAAAGTTAAGGGAACGTCCTACCAATGCGATTTAATGTGGGGGAGCTACCTGAGGAATGCCGGAAATATACCTATTTATGACTGACTGTTGAAAGCCCATAATCTAAGCGAAGGCTTTACACCAGTTGCCATTCTTAACAATCTAATTTTAGGGGTTGAATTTACCCATCACAACTTTGTCATCTGATATTTTATAAGGTAGAAACAGTTCCCATATATAGCAAGGGCCATAAGACATGTCAGATAAGAAACGAGGCCCAGGCTCTAATGTTGTTGGACTACGGAGCTATGTCTATACTGAAGCGAACTTGAAATATTTACCTGAAGCCCGGGCCTGAAACAAACCCAGAAAGCGAACATAATGAAAGGCTTTGGTAGTTGTTGTGTGGACTCACTAAGCTTAGTTTGGATAACCCCATAAATGTGGGGTTGAAATCAACCAAATGTAATCATAATGTGGGTAAATTTGGAGTGACTTAGTCTATCCTTTTATTTGAGTTAGGCTAGTCTAAATACAAAATAATATTGATGCATTACGTGTTTAAAACCCACAATTAATTATTCTAAGTTAGCATGCTTATCAAACCTTGTCTTCTTCGTTGCTTGAATTGCAGATATGGGATACGATTTCATAATGTAGAAGCTCAAACAAAACTTCATCTGCCATTTCCGCATTTGACGCTTGTGAAATGCGGATAATAGGCGGATCACGTAAATAATTGAATAAAAATCATTTTTATTTAGGATTGAACATTAAGTTCTAAAAATCAGTAAACAGTATCAGAAAAGGGTAGATAACGTATATGTATAATCATAGATTACTTATATCATTAAATTTGTTGGTGAATTATTTTGTCATTCCCAGTCATTGATCCGAAATATACACCTAATCAAAATGGCGTCTGTCCACGGTGTGGACTTCCTCCAAAATGAAATCGAAAAAGCAAAAGAAAGCCTCAAAGGAGTGGATGAAAACCTTAAAAGGGTGATGGGGAGAGATCCTTCTCAAAGGGGGTATGTAATTCCGTAATTGGTGCCTTAATTGTATCAATCAAACGCCATATTTTATTGATAAATAGACTACTTCGTTCAATTTTTTTCTATTCCCAACACAGAACCCCCAAAATGTTATTTTGAATAACAAATGTCCTAAATATTAAAAATCCTCAAAATAACCCCACATTTATGGGGGTAAATCACAGGAATCACTCCTTCCTTTATCGCATCCTACGACCCCTTTGGATTGTGGTCGTACGCGCGTATAATTGGTCAGTCAATGTTTTTACAAAGTTGGAGAATACTACGCATTGCACACCTAAATGACCTACCTCGATACATTCCTTAGTATTTTAGAATTCTTTTTATGTTGTTAGATCGCCAATTGTATGGGATTTTAGTTTTTACATCGGAAATATATCAGCAATTTTCAAAATGTCGGAAGGGGAATTCCCCAGGGATTTCCCTTATGACTGGTGCATGCCGGGAACTGAATGGAGGAATTTGACGGTTGAAATAAGTTAAATATTACACGCAAATATTGCTATCAAAAACGAAAACCTCTTCGTTCTGCCGATAAACGACGAGTCAGATCCAGTCCCCATTGGTAGTAGGTTCATTGAAATAATGAGAAGACCGGACTCAAAACCAAAAATAGTACAATGTACATCCAAAATGACCACCTAAAAATATGACCCTAAGGCCTTTACCTTCACCATCTATCAAGCATCGAATAATCAATAGTCGCCTTTTAATCTTTTCTTCATACATGTATTTCAGAATGGTTACATAATATTAACTGTTGATGCTGTGAATAAATTCACCTGAGACAAATGTTTCAAATTTTCTGAGCGTAAAGATGATGTTCTGATTCGGTAGTTTCCGGCCCATTTCCAACACTGTCCGATGATGTTTATCTGTCCGTTTATGTCACATCACAGCGAACAGCCAATGAAAGCAAATGATCAAGTAGCCTAAACAAAGTCTAGGGGATTTTAAGAAGCCTCATGGTGTTTTTCAGTAATCTCTGGTGTGACGTCATCTGGAGTGGCGTCACATTCTCAGAATAAACATTCAATCTCCAGAATAGACATCATGATCACTGGGAATTGCTGAAACCAGATTTTCTTTATGCTCAGCTATTTTGTGCTTTGAGGACAAATCGTCTGTCTGAAATCACAGACGACGAGTCAGATCCAGTCCCAGTGTATATCAACAGACACTTACATATGTTTGGAGATAAAGCTATTGGTGGACACTTGACACTAGTGGACATTAGCTTTAGGACATTCATACTGTTTCCCGAGTTTGAAGTTTAACTGTTGGCACATTTGGCATGTTAATGTCTGACTCTTGTTTACCCACATGTTCTTATGAAATAAATTCATATGTAACTGCTCGTATCGTTTGTATCATAACGATTCGTGAGGTAAATATAATTGCTTGTATCGAAATTGAAGATGATGTATCGTGAGCTCCCTAATATCTAGTGTACTCTGTAAAACTGGAAGATGGACCCCATGTATAAAATGCTATTGTTTTTGAACTGAGAATCTAGATGAAACCAGACTTAAGATTACTTGTTATCTGTTTACAGTGCAGAAAATAGAGGTTTGGGAGGATCTGGGCCAATGGTGAATAGGCGGCGAGTGACTGTAGGTGGGACTGAAAGCTTCAGGGGTAGAGAACGTACCTTCAACACTGGGGACAGGTAAACGACATGCTTATTGTATATCAATGCAAGAACCATAAGGATCAGTTAACATAATTTCCAAAAATCATTCTTGAAAGTTTCACAATTTTCAAAAATTCATAATTTTTCAACTTAGCCCATTATTACTTCTACAAGTTACTACCACTGTTACATAAAACTGATTTTTTCAATGGCTTGCTTTGTTTTTAAACAATATAGACCCTAAACTGGTTTATAAAAGGTTTTTCAAAAAGCATCAATTCAAGCCCTTGTGATCACACTGCATGATTCTTTTAGTTAATGTCTGTTACATGGGTAGATAAAATAATAGTTAAGGTTTGTGTGCAGAGGATTCTCTCCTTTCTAAAGTTATACACCTTATGATTTATACAACTTGGAATTTTTTTTATAATGACACAAACTCGCAATTTATAATTCATTTGATCACAACTTGAAGTTATATAAGTCCATTGACATGTGTGCTTATTATCTGTAATAGGAGAGGAGCAGGAGGAGGATTGGAGATCTACTCACCCCCAGCCAAGAGGAGGAACATGGGCCAAGGAGTCACAGCAAGGTAGGCCTGTTAATGATTGTATGAGCACACATTTTAAATACAGCCTCATTGTTGTAGAACTTTGATGTCTGTTTATTGATAGAAATACTGGTATAAATATTTTTTGATTCATACTAGATACTGGTTCATGTGTTTCCTGACTGTCTGGGGTTACCGTATTATCTCTATTAAACGCACACTCTCTAATAAACGCACACCCGACTTTTTGTCCCAGGTTAGAAAGTCCTGTCCAGATAATATTGAGATCTGACGAAGCTCTAATAAAAAAAACATTGTGGGCGATAATAAGTATTTTCACCGTTCGTTAAAATAATGCATCATGATTCATGACGTCACGATCTCCCATCATGCAACGCATGCAACGTAAGAAATTTCTTCAGGTGTTCGTGTAAATAACACACAATAGTGTATTTATATACTAAATTTGTCGTCTAGAAACTCACAATTCAAGGTAAAAACATAACATCAGTCTACGATTTCGTCTGTCGCACCTCGCCAAATGCGGAAATGAAACTGCTGGGGCGAAAAATTGTGGCAACTTTTAGGCTATAACTTCTCAAAACATAAGATAAAGTGTTCACTTACCATACAGAATCTTTTTTTTCCAAAATAAAGTCTTAAAAACCGGCAATTTTCAGGTAAAATCACCGTATTATTAAGATACTTTTTGAAGTTTACTAACTTCCTGTTCTCAGATTAGTGTGAGAGAGGGAGACATCTATTGAGAAAAATACTAGTAATTGCTTTCAATAAGCATACCCCCTTCAATAAAGTTTGCAGTTCCCATTTTTTACCATGTAGATTTGAAATAAAAAATAAAATCTTGGGGAGGGAAACTCTAAAATGCAACAGCTGCATAAATTAAGCAGGTTGACCTTTCACTTAGAGCCACTTAGGAATGTTTATTATAGTGGGAAATTTAAATTTGAATGTTGAAACAACATGATTGGTATTTGTTATATGATTGGTCTGATCACATGACTACCAATGTTTATGTTCTCATAAGACAACATGTTTTCTCTGAATTGTTTGACTTGAAACATTCTTCTAAAGCTAATTCTGTTTACTTTTGAGTCAGAAAAATACTATTTTTTGAGGCAAATATATCTATGTCTATTATTCTGGAAAGAAGGATAGTCCTGTATGATCCAGTTATTTTTATATCTTATTTTAATGTCATATTAAAGGGGGGGGGGGTGGGGCGTTGTTTAATTGCTCGCTGGACATGGGTTTAGTTATGGGGAAGAAATTTCTTATCAAGTGCTTATCAATTCCATTCTTGAATTGATTTATTTCTGTGGTGTCTATTACGGATTAGAAGATTGTTCCACGTAAGAGGTACCTGCGCTACCGCTGAGCTACACGGGTGGACTATTTTATGTGTCATGTCTCTGTTTAATTTATGTGTCATTTCCTGCCCAAAACAGGACTAGTACAAATTTCATATGGCGAGAACTAATAATTTTTAGTAGTCACTCTTGGCAAGTATGAGCTGAAAACGAAATCGTAGACTGTAACATATAGCATATTCTCTCTAATAAACGCACATATCTACTATATTTGATCGAATTTAGGTAAAGAAGTAAATTTTCACCCATTATCGCACACCATCATAATTTTTTAGAATTCCCGGGGATTTAGCTGCTTGAAACCTCTCCCCCACGGGAATTTGCTAAGCGCACTGTGTGTTTAATAGAGATAATACGGTACTTTGATAATACTGCAAGATTGAGCCTTTATGTAATGTATAGTCTATAATGTGAATGATTGTTTCATATCTGTATATTGCAGGCTGGGTGGAAGAGTAGGAGGGAGGCAAGGCCGGGATAGTGGAGATGAAGAGGAACTCCCCAACAAGGTAAGTCTTGCACATGAGATAAAAGTGTGTTTGTCTTTGGCATTCACTCGAATTGGCATGTGTAGCAAATTGTAACACTTTTGAAATCATTGGAAAACTTACCACCTAATAATGTTCTCTTTTGAGTGGACTGTCTGTTTTTCTATAGCTTTACTCATATGAGATTGCACTATTACAAGAGCCATTCTATGCTCCACTTCATCGGCTTGACAATATGAATTCTGCTCCATTGCAGCCCACTATCCTGTCATCTGTAGTCCCTACCCCAGAGGCAGTCAAGTCCCGCAAAGACAGCATCGATGAGCAAAACAAAGATGAGAGAGGAAAACAAAGGTATTTTTTTAAGTGTATAATTCATTCCCAAATTCAATGTATCCCTCAACAAATTTACCAATAAGAAAAGGGGATGAATGTAAAGTGTGTGTATCATACACAACCAATTTGACATACTTATTTAACTTATTGTTATGTAAGTAAGAAAATATGGGCCAAAATGAAACCCTCAATATAAAAAGCTATGGTGAAATGATTAATAAAACGTCCATGTTTTACACAAAACTTTGTTTGTGTTCCAGAAATCGGCGCATGTTTGGTATGTTACTTGGTACATTAAAGCGGTTTAAAGATGATTCCAAACAGGACACTCAAAAAGTAGGTACCCCACTTAGAACCAAAAATATGGTCTAATATGTGCTTTGAAAATAATATGTAATATGAAGGTTCTGCTTGGTAAAGCACTGATAACAATAGCAATAATCACACATTCTTGTTGAATTAACCATTTTCCCCAGGACAGCATTAGCAGTAGTCCATTTGTACTAGATTATACTAAAGACCATCTAATCTTTAATATGTATATGAAAATAATATGATAACTGGTCCATATTATCATGAAAAAGTTTTCAGTTGATTTCACAGTGACAGTTTCACTTCATTGCCTTTTAGGAAAACAGCCGCAAAGAAATTGAGAAGAAGCTTGAAGAGAAAGCTTTACAAGAGAAGGATGCAATCAAGAGAGAGCGTGAGGAACTCTTCCAGGAGCGTCGCTCCCAGCAGACAAAACTGCGCCGGTTGGAGCACAAGATGGAACTGGTGCAACTGGTGAGTGATAAACTGGATGTAATATTGAAGGTTCTGACAGTTAAGCACCCATGGGCATTTAAGTGAATATGTGTTAATTGGAGAATTGAAGTTCTGAAGTTGGAGTTTCAATAAAGTCAGAATATTTTTCAGAATTTATACCAGTCATATAATCTTATCTGAAGTTATTTCATAACTAATTATTTGTGTCATAAGACTAACAGTGAGATATCACCCTTATAAACATTTCTGCTTCCTTTCATAACACCAATCTTCATGAATCTTATTGTTGGAATGTTTCATATGCAATAGTTTATATGCAATGTTGATGTCATTACTTTTAGGTCTTATGTTAATTGTAAAAGTTTATGAATAGTAATGTACAGGTTCAGTTCACATTAACTCATGGTTTTCTACAATTATATTTCAGCAAGAACAGTGGGAGAAAGAAACCCTAAAGATGAAGAATTTTATTCGTACCAAGGTGAAGCCACACATATTCTACCTGCCCAAGAGTCATGTGGAGGAGACTAGCAAGCGCTTGGCTGACACGAAGACAGTTCTTGATGGTAAAAGCTCTAATAAAATATTTCTCATATGTGTCCACGTATCATACCAAACTTAACAATGTATTGTAATAACAGGAGCCTTTAATTACAAACCAATATTTCATATTGAAATATCAGGTCTTCACTAGCCATCAGTGGTCAACATTTGTCCATTTTACACTTTTGCAACCATGTGAAATAATAATCATAATCATAACAATAATCACTTCATAAAAGTGAGTTCTGGAGCCAACTGGCTTCTCCACATCAACATTGCATATAAACCATTGCATATGAAACATTGCATATAAACCATTGCATATGAAACATTGCATATAAACTATTGCATATGAAACATTGCATATAAACTATTGCATATGAAACATTGCATATAAACCATTGCAGACACATCTTTCATGAGTTTCCTCGACCCATAGTTCCGGGGATACTACATTGTATATTCCTATTTACTTTCAGAGCTGATCAAAACCAGGAAGCAGAAGTTGCAGATGCGCATAGAAAAGATGAACCAGAAAGAAGAGGCTAGGGACAGACGTGCACAGGGAATTCAGGAAGATGAGCAGGAATCTAGTGGAGAAGAAGATAATGATGAAGCAGAGGATAAACCTAAGAACAAAGATAAAGCAGAGGGAGATGGGGATGGAAGTCGTAAGATTAAAGTTGAAGATAAGGATGGAGATAAGGGAGAGGAGGGCAAAGGTAGACCAAGGGAAAGGAGGTTCAGTGAGAGAGAGAAGAGACCTAGAAGTGGGGAAGGGAGGGACAGGTCCAAGCCACGTAGTGGCGAAAGGGATGAGGGAAGAAGCAGAGACAAAGGTTCCAGAAAACATAGTGATAAAAGGGAGGGATCCAAACATCGTAGTGGGGAAAGGGATAGAAAATCTAGGAGCAAAAGTAGGGACAGGAGAAGGGGGAGGCATCGTAGTGGAGATCGCCAATCAAGGAGTAAAAGTAAGGAAAGGGGAAAGCACGGAGGGGAAGGGCGGAGAAGCAGGGAGAGGAATAACGATAAGGATAAAAGAAAAAGTAGGGAACGCAGGCATAGTGGTAGAGATAAGAAAGAAAGTGGGAGGAGGGAAAGTGTTGAAAGGGATGGTAGCCCAACTGCGGGAAAAAAGTCAGTGGAGGGTAGGGAAAGTAGGGAAGGAAGTGTAGGGCAAGATGCTAGAAGAGAAGACAAGGAAGGTAAGTCAGACCAACTAGAGAAAACAGAACCTATGGAACATGATGGTGAAAAGGAAATGCATGAAGCTCAGGATACATCTAGTGATAAACTTCCCAAAGACAGTGAAGAGAATGATGAAGGGGAAAATTCAATGGACACTGAAACTTCCAATGTAAATGAAAATGGTGAAACATAATTTTTTGTGATGACAGATTATTTCAACAGATTTTATATTAATTATTTTTTATACTGTATGTTCAGTGACTTCAGCTTATCTCAATTTTAAATTGTGGACAATTAGTGATTGCATCGAAACATAATATGAATATGCAACAAGGGAGTGAATTCTTAGTTCTGGTTAGTTTTTATGTGAGAGAGGTTCAAACATTTAGCTTAGATGTTGTAACATTGACTTCAGAACTTGTACTTTGGAAACCAACAACTCATTTGAAACAAAGGGAGGTTCATCCAAAATAAAACAGATTTCATAGTCTGTCCATGATGTGTTGCTGTACTCATATTATTACTCGTGTGAATGCAAAAATACTAAGTTTTATTGTTTTGTTTTGTTTGAACCATAGTTGTAGGTAACATAATATATAAAATTTGGTTTTATTTGGATTTTATTCATGTGATGATTTCTATGTCACCATCATGTGTATTATGTCACCATCATATGTGTTATGTCACCATCATATGTGGTGACATATTGTTGTGATCTCCAAGTTTTTTGTGAGTGGTTGGTGTTTGGCGTTCAGAGTTTGGCATCTGTAACAAATGGCAGGTGGTGACATTTTGCATGTTAATGCCTTGTTATTTTTTATTTTATATAGGTATGGTAAGTATGTGTTCATATGTTTAATTTATTGCTGAAAATGATCATAATATTTGTCAATCTGTATTTGACCAGAATCTATATATTGATAAAATGTTGAATCAGGCAACAAGAATGTGTTGTGAATTGAGACGGTCAAACTTTTATTGCAAAATTTTCAAATATAGAGAGCTCTGCGTAAAAGATGTAACATGACAACTTAACTAGTAATATGTACAAGTGAACAATCAAGCTGGTTTTAAGATTTCTAGATCTTTCTTTGATGTGAGATATTAAAAATTCTTTCCTCCAGGCTTCTTTTAGAATTGCAATTAGAAGGAAAGAATTATTGTTGTGAAAGAAAGACAAAGAATTATTGTTGTGAAACATGTGATGTCAATTGGAAAAAGGAAATAAACAATTTTATTTGATGAATACATATGCTTGATTTGTGTTTAATTCTTGTTCTTGGTTTATCATCAGAATACACAAAGGACGACGTGCAAACAAAAAACAATTTCCACAAATAATATTAGCCTGTACCAACCTATAAAATCCACTTATGAATGTTGCAACCAAAGATGGTGACTGAAATTGTTACACTTTGTAAATATTTACAATTACTTGTCACAATGTTTTAACTAAGAATGCCCCAAGTTGAAAATAATTCAAGCCACATCAAGAATGAGGTCACTCCACCATTCGTATAAAGCAATGACAAGATAATTGAACAAAAACATTCCAAACAGCCAAATTCAGGATAGCTGCCCAAAAATTAATTCCATTTAAAACCCGATGCCAAAAGTCAGTTGGAATCTTTAAACCAGGTTCTGTAATGGCCACCAGAATTAAGTTTGGAGCCCAAAATTAATCAGCTCTGGAACTTATGGAGTATACAACCTCAACATTGTACATTTAAAGTTAATCTGATCTGTGGTTTTATGTCCCCAAAAAGTGGTGACACATTGCACGGCGCAGTATCCAAACTGTGTGCATACTATGCAGTGCACGCAGTTTGAAACACTGGCAAACCGCGCACATATCAACATTGCATCATACAAGTTGGAGTCTGTGTTTTCATTTTAAGACATTTTTTATTCTGCATTGTTTTATAGTTTCATAAGTCTATTTGGTGTCGATTATATGATTCTACCATGTGATAGCGAAAACTATGTCCAGATGAACATAGGTTTTAAAATATAAGCAGATTGATAAAAAATTGTCATCGGTTTTTCGATTACTGACACATAAGTTGATGTCGCACTTTTCACTATATTACTTATATATATTAAACCATATGCAGCAATCCTGTCTTTCAGTATATGCAAACACAATGAACTTCAAACTATAACAAACAGACAAAATATATGACGCAACACTGTATATTTTGAACACAAAAGCTCCTTAGGAAGTTTAGATTGAGATAACTAGGTTTACATCAGGAAAAAAACCGAGTGCTACTTGTAAAGAATGTTAGTCTCCACATAATGGTACTGTCTGAAAAACAAAACTAACTTTGTATTTCCAATACTTTTCATCCTTATGGGAGTCGTGAACTCCCTGTCTGCCATTTTTAAATATGCGCACAGTTTGTCAGTGTATCAAACTTTGTCCATAGTATGCACGCAGTTAAGATACTGTGCAGTGTATTGTTATGGTCTCCATTTTTGTGATGGCGGTTGGCATCTGTAAAACATGGCAATGTTAATGCCTTGTCTGGGTTTACTGAGGACTCTTTAATTATCCACCTCCTTAGTGTAATAAATTGAAAAATGTTGACAGATAATTCATCCAATCAAACGAGGCATGAGTTCTAGTTGGAGTTCCATCTCTCGATACTAGTTTTACAGACAAAGATTAATTCTCTAAATATTCCTAATTTATTGCAAAATTAGTTACCCGAATTACAATTAGTAACCAGAACAACAGCAACGCCAAAGCGTAGCGAATCCCATCGAACATTTTTCAAAATGAGCACCTTCTACCAAAAGTGTCATTAGACTGCCATGCTTATAATATTCACATACCAAATATGAACAAAATCACTTTACTACTTTTCGAGTTATAGTAAAATACGGCCACCTTCTACCAAAAGTCTCATTAGACAGTGTGCCATGCTTATAGTATTCATATACCAAATATGAACAAAATCGCTCCACTACTTTTCGAGTTATAGTAAAATACGTTAAAATGGCTGCCATTTTGAAAAATGGCCGCCTTCAACCAAAAGTGTCGTTAGACAGTGTGTCATGCTTATACGTATTCACGTACCAAATATGAACAAAATCGCTCCACTACTTTTCAAGTTATAGTAAAATAAGTTAAAATGGCAGCCATTTTTCAAAATGTCTGCCATTTTTCAAAATGGCCGCCTTCTACCAAAAGTGTCATTAGACAGTGTGCCATGCTTACAGTATTCACATACCGAATATGAACAAAATCGCTCCACTACTTTTCGAGTTATAGTAAAATACGTTAAAATGGCGGCCATTTTGAAAAATGACCACCCTCTACCAAAAGTGTCATTAGACAGTGTGCCATGCTTAATACGTATTCACATACCAAATATGAACAAAATCGCTCCACTACTTTTCGAGTTTTAGTAAAATAAGTTAAAATGGCGGCCATTTTTCAAAATGTCCGCCATTTTTCAAAATGGCCGCCTTCTACCAAAAGTGTCATTAGACAGTGTGCCATGCTTATAGTATTCACATACCAAATATGAATAAAATCGCTCTACTACTTTTCGAGTTACAGCAAAAATCGTAAAATAACGAGTAAAGGCAAAATGTCCGCCATTTTTCAAAATGGCCGCCTTCTACCAAAAGTGTCATTAGACAGTGTGCCATGCTTATAGTATTCACATACCAAATATGAATAAAATCGCTCTACTACTTTTCGAGTTACAGCAAAAATCGTAAAATAACGAGTAAAGGCCGCCATTTTTCAAGATGGCTGCCATGTGCTTTTTCAATATCTACATTTCTAGCTTTATTAATGTCCTATATCATTTTTTTTACATTTAAAACATATTGCTATTACAGTTTTACATATTGCACCTAAATTACTGTAAAATCGGCACTAAAATGGCCGCCATTTTTAAACGAGCGGCCATTTTGAAAATCGGCTTTCGAGCAGAACTTCTACCCCCATAGGGTATATGTGTACAAAATATGAATAAAATCGGGCCAACAGTATTTGAGTTATTGCCCGGACGGACGGACGGACGGACGAAGGCGTTCCCTATATCCCTCCGAACTTCGTTCGATGGGATAACAATTAGTTACAACATGTATGGAGTACAAAAATAATTGTTTGGTCATCAGCTCCAACTTAATGAATAAAGATGCCCTATAGTTTGATAAAACTGATCTGATTCTTTCACAAATGTCTTTAGTACAAACAAATGAGTGCAAATATAATTTCATTCAACTTTGTTGATGATAAATAAATGTGCAAAACTTATTTTTTGTGGCCTGAGGCCCAAGCCAGTAAATTCTAGCATTACATGCATGGTTATATTCTATTTTAACATTTAAGAAATACTTTGTCAATAAATGTTTAGATCTTTAGGCCAAACAGAAATATATATAACATGTATTGTCAATATCTTCTCAAATAATAAATTCCATATCTGTCCTGATCAGTGAAAAACATATTTATCCCCTGATATTATAAATTGGATTAATTAGCATACAAAATGATGATGCTATTAATTTTTTATCTGTGATTTAAATATTCATTCACACACACTATAGCAAAAATGAGAGTATTTTCCAGGATTTTACAATGGGGATACATAACATCCTGATTTACATCCTTATTTTCACATTTTAATGGCACACACACATGATACAGAAATCATTGATTTGTATGCAAATTGAAGTTCTACACCCACAATTCATTCTCATTTTACAGTTCTAACACTCGCCTACAAGTGCCTAAATCAGTAAACAAATAAAAAGTAGTTTTAAATTTTTAGTGTCTTATATTGGCAAATGAAATGTGCAATAAATAAATACTGTAATTCACAAACATCTTTCACCCGAGATATCAGTATTTCTAATGCGGTCAGTCCCAGTGTAATATTAATGAACAGCCACATAAATAATGAACAGCCACATAAATATGAGTCATACCTTTTTAACAGATAACAAATTGACTTTGTTTGCTTTTAATTTAATATTAATATTTTGTGACAACATTTAAAACTGTTGACCTCAGGTCCCTACTTACATGACTGAAACAACATGCTCATCCTATATCAATATATTGGTTTCATAGATGTACATCATGGATTTATATTCTACTAATTTTACTAAATATTAGTACATGTAGTTATAAATAACACTACATAATGCTATTTTAGACTTACAATACATGTTCATGTATACTATAAATTATTCCCATATCATGCTACAGATTTCAGTGTTTTGTCTATCTATCCTATCTAAACAAATTGAGCATTTCACTTTTAGTGAACAATAACATACTGGATTGTGCCCTAAATCCCATACTGTACTCTATCGGATTGTGCTGTACTGTACTTTATTGTGCTGCACTGTACTTATTCTGCTGTACTCTACTGTATTGAGTGGCACTGTACTATATTGTGCTGCATTGTACTGTACTATATTGTGCTGCACTGTACTTATTCTGCTGTACTCTACTGTATTGAGTGGCACTGTACTATATTGTGCTGCATTGTACTGTACTATATTGTGCTGCACTGTACTTATTCTGCTGTACTCTACTGTATTGTGCGGCACTGTACTGTACTACATTGTTCTGCACTGTACTGTACTATATTGTGCTGCATTGTTGTACTGTATTGTGCTGGGATATACTGTACTAGCTGTACTCCTATGTATTTCAGAATCCATTAAATGAAAGATTTTTCCTTTCTAATTTTCAGTCAAATATCATTATTTGTTCTCACTTATTGGTATCATTGTGAATTTGTTAGAATTGGCAAGATAGTCCAGCCTCCCATTCCATCTAGTTTAAGTTCAGTATTGTGGTATTGACGTAAACTGTCTCTATGGCCCACACTGACTACAGTGATGTTGAGATCTTTACATTTGGTGTACATACTGCATTCTGAAGTCAATCCTATCTGGCTGCTAGCTTCATCCAGCACTGCAACAAGTTAGTTAAAATAATCAAGTGAGCTTAATGGAAGATATGTAAGGGGTACAGACATTAAGACGTTGTCCTCAATTCCCTACTTAATTACTGAAACAACATGGTTATCCTACATCAATACATTTTCATAATACATGAACATAATTTTTCACAGATATGTTTTCAAAAGATACAAAATTTAAAAATGCAGCATTGTGATAAAACAACCGAGCAACTTACCTGCAAATGGAGGACTGTGATAGAACAGTCTAGCAAAGCTCAGTCTTTGCATCTCACCTGGGGAGAGCATATCATACCTAAAAGTAAATTTATGAATGGATAGTTTTCAACGTGCAAAATCTGTGGACTCATCCCATGTTAATTGCTAATTATTAGGAATATTTATAGAATAAAGACAGAGATTTAGCCTTTAAGTGTTGCATAATCAGAATTTAATTTGGGACTTGCATCCATTTCTCATTGTTTCATGGAACTCAGAAATTAGTCAGGACAAAAATCACTATTTCCAAACTGGCAATTGCCTTTAGGACTGTCAATAGATGATTAAAAAATTCAGTGTGTTTAATTACACATACTTTTACATGTAAAATTGATTCAAATATCTCCTACATTAAATTTTAATGTATATCCAAAACCTCATGATATTGACACCTTTAAGTAAATAATTATGATGAGAAAATGTGACATAATTTGATTCATGTAGTGTATTCGAAGTATCAAGACACAATTTTTATATATAAATCAAAAGGACAGGTGTAAAGAACAATCCAAGAGAGAAAATTATTGAACTGCTATCTACGAGTTCTGGCTCCCATATCACATGGAAGCAATAATGTATTTACGTACCAGTTCCAATCATTCTCTCCATCCAGGCTAACCCTCTCCAATAAATGAGTGAGACCAACATACTCTAAACACTCTGAGCACTTCTCATCATCATAACCTAAAACATTAAAGACTCATCTTGAACTCAATATCATTCCATTTTATGCCATTTTTTAGTCTAACAGTTAGGACTTCATTTTAGGTTAATCCTTTGATTAACTGATAAAAAAATTGAAAAGTTCTCCTCTTTTTAATTCAAATGAATAGGGACATTTCTGCAAATTAGTCTTCAATTCTTATTTTTCAGAATTAGGAAATAAGATATGGATGTTAAGGGAAACATAATGAACAGGCATGCTTTTTGAAAATCTTACTTTGAATACTTTACATATTTAGTCTTTGAAGTGAACATACAAGAATGCATGGAACAAATGCACCTAGTTGCAGATGATTTTTATCATCTCTGTTGAATGCTTTTTATGAGGTTTTCATTTCAGTTAATACTGCATTTTTTAACTCACTTTCAGTGTTGCTTGTTTCTTCTACTGGGTATATTATCTGAAGGTATAAAAACATAATAGGTAATCTTTGAGGAAAAATTCAGTTGCAGTGGAATTACACTTTTGGCGTGTCACCTATTTATTGATATTCACTATTATCTAGCCAATGTAACATTTTACAAAGAGACTTGCGTAATGACGTTATGTGTAAATCTCGTAGATGCTCTACAAGTAGAACTTTATTTTTTATGACGGTTGGATAAGGCCAACTGACATGTGGGAAAGACCACTTGGCACTCTGGATAAGATGAAGGATACAGCTGGGAAAGACCAGTGCACAAGAACATGCAGTAAGGGATGTGTGATACAGGGTGATCTCGAATCGCTCTGCATGAATGATTGTATTATTCCATACGCAGCATGACCTGCGTACCAATAGACTGTAAAAACATAATAAAACATAAGCAATAAAACAAACAGGGCTTGCCCGGCTTGATGATAGAGTAAGAAGAATAAGGTAACATATATGTAATTTGTAATCACCTGTTGTTTCAGAGATCCACTGGTGAAGTATGGTTTCTGAGGTAGGAACATGACACCTGCTGGCCCTTGGGGTAGGAGACGGTCCACTGTACCTTTAGAGTGGGGCCAGAGAGCGGCAAGTACCCTCAGCAGAGAACTTTTTCCACAACCACTGTCCCCTGTGATCAACATGTTCTCCCCCTGGCTTATCTCTATACTGAGATCTATTTTGTGAAATAGAAAGAAGTACATGTATGAGTTGCATTTACATGCCTCCTAGACCTCAACTCACATGGTCATCAGTTCTCATATCACAAAATCGATGCGCAAGTGGAGATATAAATGTAAGTTCAGAAGAGAGGAACTGGTGAGTCAAAGTCTAGGATAGATTACATAATCCAAAAATAAATTTGCATAACTCTGCATTTGTAGAGTTATACTATTTTTTTATCAGAAAATAAAACAAGATTACAATATAGCCCCATAAGCTGCACTGGCAGAGACAGTGTTTTAGAAACCAAGTTATTTTAAAACGATGAATTTTTTACCAAAAATCTGTCGTGCAATGAAAATAATTCAAACATGACCGTGCTCTATTCGAATTTCTCAACCAATCAGAATGCAGCATAGCCAATATAGAACGTTCTCTAATTCTCCATAGATGCACGACCATGCTCTATTCAATCTACAATTTGCATTGTTTTGAGTGACGTCACATCTCAGCTGCACATCTGGGGCTCTGTCCGGGGATAGCTGTTCTTTTTTACTCCCTCCGTAACTACTGTAACATTTAACTATGGCTGACTATATAATATAATAATCTAAAACGGGGAGTAAAATAGAACAGCCCAAACAAATTCTAAAATTTTTCCAGCCGACTTCAGAATCTTGACAGCATGCGTATTCTTCCTTCATGCCCGTTCCACAGACACGACTTTTACTAATTTTTATGTTTGAATCGGAATAAATAATGCTAGGCCATTCAATATGGTGAAATTCAGCACTCGTTGGACAGAATGTTAGTACAAATGCACTCACCTTCGGTTCGTGCTTTGTACAACATTCTGTCCAACTCGTGCTGAATTTCACCATATTGAATGGCCTATCATTATTTATTCCTTAAATAAAGAAATATAAATAATATATTACATACCATTTAAGAAATTTTTTTCTGCCCTTGGTTTTTTATAACTGAGATGTTTCACCTTGTAGGCTTTAGTTGAATCCTCTGGGCCCTCACTATAAGATCTTGAACTGTAACACCAAATACATAAGACCTTAAAGAACTACACATACTAGTTGGTATTTCCTTTTTTATCACACTTTCAAAAAATGCTATATGGTCCTCATATTGTTCCTGTTGTGTGGATGACTGGGTTCCACATAACTCTTGTTTTAAATTAGAAGGCACTTTATAAAAACTTATTTTAGAGGTAAGGAAAAAAACGAAAAAGATTACATATTACACTAAAACCTGTCAAATTTGAACGCCTCTTGGACCAGGCAAAAAAGTTTAGATTAACAGGTGTTCACATATCAAGGTTTTTTCATATGTGAGTCTATGGGAGATAACAAATACGGGACCGAGAAAAAGTGTTCACATTGTACAGGTTTAGCTGTACACATAATTGTAGTGCTGAGTTTGGATGGGTAGATGGCAATAATATTGTACTGCATAATATCGTGACAAGATGGACTAGAACATATATCCGTGTGTTATTGTAAAAACTTAACTATTGTCAAACTAAGATGTTGAAATCATAGGACTGTAAATCATAAGCATGCATAACAATAAGGTATAATACCTGCTGAATGATATGGTACTAAGTGAGTTATCGTATTCCTGTTGGTCTCCCCAATGTACATCTAAGCACTCCAACAGCTGGCCAATACTGAAAACATCAGGTTAAAGTAGACATGAATTATTGTATTCCTGTTTGTCTCCCCAATGCACATCTAAGCACTCCAACAGCTGACCAATACTGAAAAAATCAGGTTAAAGTAAACATGAATTATTGTATTCCTGTTGGTCTCCCCAATATACATCTAAGCACTCCAACAGCTGGCCAATACTGAAAACATCAAGTAGCTGGCCAATACTGAAAACATCAGGTTAAAGTAGACATGAATTATTGTATTCCTGTTGGTCTCCCCAATGTACATCTAAGCACTCCAACAGGTGGCCAATACTGTAAACATCAGGTTAAAGTAGACATGAATTATTGAATTCCTATTGGTCTCCCCAATGTACATCTAAGCACTCCAACAGCTGGCCAATACTGAAAACATCAAGTTAAAGTAGACATGAATTATTGTATTCCTATTGGTCTCCCCAATGTACATCTAAGCACTCCAACAGCTGGCCAATACTGAAAACATCAGGTTAAAGTAGACATGAATTATTGTATTCCTGTTGGCCTCCCCAATGTACATCTAAGCACTCCAACAGCTGGCCAATACTGAAAACATCAAGTTGAAGTAGACATGAATTATTGTATTCCTGTTGGTCTCCCCAATGTAAATCTAAGCACTCCAACAGCTGGCAAATACTGAAAACATCAAGTTGAAGTAGACATGAATTATTGTATTCCTGTTGGCCTCCCCAATGTACATCTAAGCACTCCAACAGCTGGCCAATACTGAAAACATCAAGTTGAAGTAGACATGAATTATTGTATTCCTGTTGGCCTCCCCAATGTACATCTAAGCACTCCAACAGCTGGCCAATACTGAAAACATCAAGTTGAAGTAGACATGAATTATTGTATTCCTGTTGGTCTCCCCAATGTACATCTAAGCACTCCAACAGCTGGCAAATACTGAAAACATCAGGTTAATGCTGACATGCAGACCCACCAATCTACAAATATTATAATTTAGTAATATAATACTTTCTGAACATGGTGATATCTAGATTTAAAATACATGTACTTCCTGGAAAGTCATTATAGCTGTATCACTTTTACAAGGATTAAAATGTTGTTCTTGAGTACAAGATTTGTGTCACATTTCTGAAACTTTTATTGAACATTGTAGAATCAGACAATGTATCATGCATTCTTGAGCTGTGATTCATTTCACTTTGTAAAACTAAGCAATTTTACAGACTGACAATGTTACAGGCATCATGATCAAATATGGCTGACTTCACATTCAAGCATGGGTAGGCAAGGTGTGTTAAACTCTAGCCAATCAGAACACAGTATTTCATATATTATTACATTTCATTTTACAATCAACAACCCACCCGAGGTCATTTTTAGATTCTAGTGAAATAAATTAAACTGAAAAATAACAATGAAACCAGGCACATTTCACAAAAGAGAATTTTACAGGTTTAGTTGCAATACTTAAAAGTGCATTATGTAAAATTTTGAAGGCAAGTGGTGCAGATTAAGCAACGTTCCTGCCAGCACCAGTCCTGTTACTTTTGGAAAACCCTGTATAGAACATTGGTATTACATTGAATACATGTAAATGTACAATATTTGTAAGCCTCGCTGAAATACTTTCTTATGCATAAAACAACTTCAAAATATACTAAGTAATAAATATATTGTGATATGGTAATAAAGTCTCACCCCAAACCCTATTGTACCTCACTAACATACACACATTCTACATGAGGAATACCTCCATTGATGTACATACAATGTACAGAGCACACATGAATACAAGAGTGAACCGAGTGGAGACCATTTTACAAATAATTCACAATGTTTTAGAAATATTTTCACATGTTTTATTTCCTAGGGAAGCCCTGAATAGTATTCTATAAGAGTATTATATACACTAATACACAACTTTAAGGATTTGTTATTTTGAAATGTTAAGTTTGGAAATTCCCTTACAATAGAATTCTGTGAAAGACGTGTCAAAATAGAAAATATTGTGCAAAGAATGATATGATTATACAAAAAGCAATCATTACAAGAACATAAAAATGTCAAGGAGATTCAACAAAATAATTTTTATAAGAATTCACCATTTTGATATCCTTACATTGACAAAATATTGATTGAATATTTCTGAAAGGGCCACATGGTAAAACTGCATAATAAATATTAGATTACTTTCTTATATAATACTTTCATTATTTGCAATAATAATGGCCAATATACCAGTTTACAATAAGTGATTAGCAGCCAATACTGGCCAATACACTGATATATATTAAAGGCACCATGTAAATTCAAATAACTTTGGCTTATATTGCAATTAGGGGTGAGACGAGTCGAAAAAATCCGATTCGAGTCGAATCCGATTCGAGTCAGAAAATGACGATTCGAGTTTCGAATCCGTTTCAAGTCAGATAAAGTGCGAACAACATCGCTTTTGACCGTTCGTATTTTTAATGCGTCAATGGTGGAAAGCCGGAAATATAAACAAACACAATTCGTCGTAAGTTTATTCTGATTTTATCACATATATTCTTTCATTTATGTGTACATACAATATAATAATTTAATACAAGCATATCCAAGTCATTGAAACTTATATATTCAGCGCAATATCGAGTAAAAACATGCATATTGACAGTATTTTTCTGAATTTTTTTATTTTTTCGAATTTCTTCTCAACTCGAAAATGATTCGATTCATCAACTTCGACTCGATTCGACTCGACTCGAAGCCCCAAACCCGCGAGTCCTCGACTCATCGGGTTGTCGTCTCACCCCTAATTGCAGTGTTACCCAATGGTCTAAAAATAGATTCTTTGAAGCACTTTTTGATTTAGAGAAATTATGAATTGATTGCAAATTAAATTTGATTGTTACATTCATATATTAACAAGAAAAACTTTAAAATACATATGTGCATATCAAAATATATTAAAACTATAAAAAATAAAATAAATATATTAAACAATATTTACAAACTTTGCATGGGACCTTTAAGTGAACCAATAAGATACACCTATAAGACTATCACCAGAATATTATACATTTACCATGAGGAGGTTAAACATAAAACAATGTCTGATTTTCAGTATAATCAGTATTCTGTTTCTAAACTTGCTAGTATTCAACATTTTGCTTTACTATGGATATTCAAGAATGAGCACATCATTAACTGGTAATTCTTGGTTGGAAAACATTCTCAGCAGTCCACAAATTCAGAAATTGATTCAAAATGGAAAAGCAGGAGGCTTTGTCAATCTCCAGCAAAATTCTTTAGGAAGAATATTCATCATGACAAGCAACAAAATAACTAATACAAAACTGGATAACCTGACAACTCAAGCTGGAAAATCTGCACCTGAAATTCATGAATCAATATCATATTTAGGAATAGATGTATCAGACTCGGGGGAAGCTTTATATGTTTATAAAAGGATTTTATCTCGACATTTATTTCCTTACAAGAAACTCATAGTGGACATAGGAGCAAATGATGGCCTCATGTCCAGCAATTCTTTCAATTTTATCCAATGGGGTTGGGATGCTATGTTAGTGGAGCCTGTTCAACAGCAGATAGAGATGGCAAAGCAAAATGCAAAAAGGTAATTGAAAATGTGTATTTACAGGTATGATATACATGTACATGTTCTTGGAGTTTGGATTTCTCAATTGCTTCTGTTGTAATTTCGGTAATTGACAGGTCGAGACAAAAACAGCAAAGAGATAGCAAAAATTATTTCTCATTAAATTCTTGAATTTTGAGATGGGGAAATAGTCCTAATTATCGCACAGTCCTATTTATTGCACAATTGTCCTAAATATCTAACCTCTTTTAAACCAGTGTTCCTAACACCGGCTCAACACCATTACTCCCAATCTTAATGATTTATTCATATATTTAGAAATTACAGGTTATTAATGTTGCTTACTGTTGAAGGAGAGAGAGAGAGAAAAGGAAAGATTGTTGGTTTTTGTCACTTTGCATAAAATGATGATATTAACGCAAGAGTCTGCAGATATTCCATAGTGTCTCATGTTGTTCCATTTTGTTGTTTTTCTTTGCTATGTATTTTTCTTCTTCTTCTTGACTCTGAGGGTATATTTTAAAAGGACCTAGTTCTGGTCTATTGTCTCCTAATTTTCTTAGGTATATTATATGAAATGTTTCATATGAATCAGTAGCTTATTTTTTGTATTTTCTTCTACTGTATCCGAAAACAATGTCTTTATTTTCTGGTCTATTTTCACCAGCTTCCTCATAGCACATCCTCAAAAAGTCCTTTGTGGCTATACATTCTAAGAAGCCATGTTCGATGCCATCTACAGGGCGTCCACAAAAAAAGTATACCCAACTTCAAAGCTAGGAGACCAGAATTCTGAGCAATTTCCTATTAATTTAAAGGCTGCAGTATAAGGCCTAGTTAATTCTCCATCAAATGGTACCTAGATCATTATGTAACTGTCATGTATGACTGAGCAATCAAGACTTTTATGAAAGGTGGAAAATCAGCACTGTGCCAAGTTAGCATTCAAGTAGGATTGACACAATGAATGTTTTTTTGTGTTCAAAACATTTTTAAAGTTCAAATTCAAACTTGCTCCATGTTCTTCAACCTTTTAACATAATTTCCCATAACTTCTTATTGCTACCACCCTCGCTGAAATTGGATCCCAAGAGCCTCTTGAACAGCAATGAAAATTCTACTTGATGATATGCAGCCTTGAAGTCAATAGTAACCCCCATAGAAGTCAATACACCCTTGGTGAAATCCTCATTTTCTCAGAATAACTCAAGTTGATTGAGTCTCAACAAGTAGATTAATGTTGGACAGTATTGGTAGAATCAATTTTCGATAGTAAGAATAGGGATTCTTAAACAGTACACTGGACTCACTTTTTGTGGTCTCTTCTGCTCATGTGTCAGTTGAACCATGTTTGCAGGTCTATTTTAGAGTAAGTAAGCTTTTTGCCAAATCTTTTTTTCATAATTGAGCTACTCAGCCCCCATTGCAGTTCATTATGAAAGTCCTGTCATCTAACATAATGTAACAGAAAAAGAATACTAAGCCAATAACACATCGATTGTCACACAGGAAGATAACTTGGCACCGTGCTAAATTTACCACCTATCATAAAAGTTTTGATTGCTCAGTCATACGTGACAGTTACATAATGATCTAGGTACCATTTGATGGAGGACAAAAAGGCTTTTTGCTGTAGCTTTTGGATTTCAAAAAGATTGCTCAGGATTTTAGTAATTTGGTTTTGAAGTTGGGTATACTTTTTTTGTGGACGCCCTGTAGTATATGGTTCTCATTGCATATTGTACACATTGGCGTGTTTATCCCCTCTATGTTCATTTTGTTTAGCATTTTATTGCTAAGTATATTGTTCTGTGTAATAATCTGAACTGGAAGTATCTAAGTTTCGCATTACTTGTTATCATTTTATAAGTGGTGTATATTTCATCCCATTCTTTCCTCATTTAAATTTAGCTCCCTAAGCCACTTGTCTTGTGCTTTTATAAGTTCTATTTTTATTCTTTTAAACATCCTATACATAGCCGTAGGGACCGGGGATTCAATGGGTTCGGATGAACCCCCGGTCGGGGTTTCCCCCGAAAAATATTTGTGGAAAATTTATTGCAATAACCAGAAACATATATTCGATTTATATGACTAGTAGATAAAAATTTTAAATTTACACTTCTCTCCAAAAGATTGGCAACCTCAGGCACGGGGTGGAATTGTTTAATTTTGGGAAGACCCCGGAGCATCATGACATTATGCAAAGAAAAATATCAATAATTTTGCGCAACTTATTTTCCAGCTTAAAAGCTGCTCCATCTACAGGGAAATAAACCAACTGTCTTAATACTGATGAAAACACATTTTCTTTCAAATCTGTGCCCCTCTAAGTAACAGAAACATTTTGAAATGAGTTATTATTAAAAGCATATGTATCATTTATGAACACAAGTATTTGATCAAATAGGTATTTATTATCCATCACTTTTTAAGGAATAATAAATCCATTGCGAAAAAATCAGTTTTGCTTTTTTTAGATGCACGTTGATCTTGGAGATCATTTTAAGATTAAATTGTTGCTGTTTCAGTCTATTTAGTATTTACTCTATTTTCAAGAATATCAAACTTTAGTGGATCGTGTTATTGTCATTAATTGTATATGTTTAGCAAATAATTAAATGGATTGAGGGAGGCAATTAGGTGAGTATGTCTCTGGTACTAGATACAAGTGTAAAAGGTACACAAATTGCGTGCAGTTGAAAGTTCTGTCCAATAAAAAGGCCAGATGGAGTCATCTTTTGCTGAGGAAAGCAAAGGCGTAAGGAGGATTATATCAAATAAGTATATATCAATGAGTATTTTATTTTCACAGTGAAGGGAAAAAGTTCATAATAAAAAATATCGGGATTTTTAAACTTCAAAGACCTAATTACAGATGGCCTGCGGTTGAATCTAATCTACTTATTAAATATAGAGCCCATTGGTTCCTCTTGGTTTACGTGGGAATGAAGATTTTCAAAAATTCATCAAAAATTGGTATCATTATGGAGAACTGAATTCAACAATGTTTTTCGCTTAAACCAATCATTGAAAACATTCTGTAAAAAACAAGTTATTTTATGTGATGTTCACTGATTGACAACAATTTAATGCGAAAATTATTTAGAAATACTTTATATAACTGTTTTTTGTTAACATTTTTTGTTTTTCAGTGCAATTGTTTTTGCTCCTTTCTACCAATTCTTGAGAATGAAATAAAATGTCTTCCCGAACCTTGTTGGAACAAAATAGCATATGCAACATGTTTGTAGACCTCTCAATATTATAGTTATATAAAGGAATTTTTGGTTGATTTTAAAAAAGCATTTAAAAAATTAAAACAAAATCCCCCAAAATGAACAAGATACTTTTTTAAAATCAACAAAATTTCCTTTGTACAATTACAATTTTGAGAGACTTAAGCATGTTGTGTTTATGTCGTTTTGTTCCAATGAGGTTCGGAAAGATGTTTCATTTCACTCTGGAAACATGATACCAAGAACAAAACAAGTGTTTGATGTGTTTTCTAAAACAATATAGATGAAAGTATATAATTATTTTTCAAATTATATTGTTACCATTCAAAAGATGACCATTAAATTGATGATGTGTTCAATTTTTAGATTTTTTTCATGACTGGTTTAAGAGAAACGTGTGTTCAAAAAGTTCTCCACATCGATATCACTCCTTTAGAAGTAAAAAACAAATTGGGAAAATTTGGAGGCATTTGAAATGAAATCAAGTTACATTTTAATCAATATTATAAGTATTTTCCCCGCAGGTTATGTAAATAAAAATTCAAATATAAAGAGGAGGCAGGGAGCTTAGGTTGCCAAACTTTTGGAGGGGAGTGTATTTGCCAGAAAGAAGAGAGGATTAGCCTACCACAAGTTTCAAATCGTGTGTCTAAAAAGGATTTGACAGCATTCTTCAATAAGATAATAAAACGTTAATTTCTCAAAAACAAATCAAAGTTTATAATGATTCACAAGTTCATCTAAAATATTTTCATTTCTCAAAACGTTCATGATTTTCGTCATTAATGATAAAAACAGCGGAACGGTGATAGAATGTTTCATTCCATATGTAATACAATACTATTTGTCATCTGTCACTTCTATCGTCAGTACCAATTGAGAGTATTCATGCAGCCATTACGACTTTTATTGTGTGCCATGATAAAATAAAATTACATTCTTCAAAAATATTTGCTAGTAAATAACTGTATAGGTCATTATGGACTCCTCGATTACAAAATGAAATAGCAAATAAAATTCTTTTAATTTGGATTCTTTTCAAAAATCATCTAAAAGCGTGGGAAAATAGCATGTGTCAGAATTTGACATATCTTTGAATGAACGATTTATCAATGGTACCTCGTTAAAAATATGTTCCTTAGAAATATGGTATAATTTGCCCTTAACAAAAGTTGGCTCAATGTATGCTAATCCTTGATTTGGATTTCATTGAACAATTAAACAAGTGTTATATTAAAATGTATGACTTTGCTACCAGATTTTTCCTTATTATCATAGTTTTTTAGCTTCATTTTCCATAAAGTTTTCCGTTTATCTTTGTCATCTGTATTGAAATATTTTCGCAACCATTTAACCTTTGCATTTTTGGCAAAGGCTTTTAGGTTAACCATTTATAGAATGACGATCTTGTCTTCATATGAAATTCTCTAATTTTAGATTCAGAGACCCGTATCGCGATAACAAACAGAACGTTCAGTACATCCAAGCTGTTATTGGAACAATAGATGGCAGCATTGACTTTGCACTGACTAATGATGTAGTTTCCATGGAGAACCACATAATCAAAACAAATAGACCAATGGCTGGAAATGTAAAAGGAGTAACAAAAGTTAAATCCATGAGGGTTGAGACATTTGTGAAAACATACAATATTCCTAGAATGTTTGGAATTCTATCCATTGATGCAGAGGGCATAGGAGATGAGGTAATAGATCATTTTGTATTTTTAAAACTATAAGCTTTTCACACCATCCTGTAAATCTCAGCAATTTCCCATTCCTCTTAACTAATAAGTGATAAAAAGTAAAATAAGGCAATAAACTGCATGTCTATTTTGTGGAATTTCACCGGCTGTGTGTGATTTATATGTAGGTGAATTACAGTATTTTGTTGGATTGGTTTTTTAGAGACATCAATATTTATTCCCAAATCATGATTTTTAATTTCTATGTTTTCCAGGTGCTTCACCAGTTTATGGAATACAATATGAGACCAGCTTATATAATATATGAATCACTGCACAATAGAGAAAACATTTATGACACTGAGCGCTATATGAAGTCGTTTGGCTATGTCAGCATGTCTAAACTAGGCTGGAACCATATATTTGAGCATAGACCTTAGAGTTATACTCAGGGCTCAAAACTCAAATTGCAGTTATTTGCTACCATCTTTAGAATTAATAAAATAAATTAATACCTGTGATTCCGACCTCTACAAAATTCTGCATAATATTCATTTATGTAACCCTAAAATTATCTAGACGATGGAACTTTTTATACCTGTCTGATTCTAGCATAACTACTTAATGGAATCAAGAACTATCTGAAATGGCCACTAGGCAAAAACTGTTAATTTCAATATACTGTACAGGGCCTGACACTATGCATAAAATTCTTTCACACATTGGAAAATATTATATATAATATCAATTAAAAGATACAAAATGACTGAAAAGAATATTTTTTCAAAGAAACCTTTTGCAAGGGTCAAGTTGTCACCTAGACGGCCATGATTCAATGTTTACCATTTGACCTGCATAAGCACTTGGCTTGTTATTTCCTATGACACTATTTATACATTTTTACTCAACTAAGAAATTCATCAGCTTATCAGTTTCATTAGTTTCATGAGGATCTAAAAATAACCTTGGGTGCATTAGAAGTGTATTGAAATGCAGTTATATGAAATAGCATGTTCTGATTGGCTGGAATTGCTATCCAGGTGATAGCATCTGCCAATCATTCAAAATAGCTTGTCTGTGTGTCATGTCTAATTAATTCTTTCATTCTACCCAAATATACAAAATCCATTCATTCTAAAAATTCATTGGAGGTGATATTGTTAGAATAAATATGGAGAAGTATTTTTGCTTGGAAATGGATTGATAAGTGACTTTTACAATGAAAATTGTTATTTTAACATACTGTCTTTAATTCAAAAATTCACATATAATATGAGACCAATCTCTTAGATATTCATAGCACTAGCAGAAGATACCCTAAAGTGCCTCAAGTAAAGTTTTTAAAGAATTTAGTTTATTTATTGCTGAAAAATTAATTATCAAATTACTTCCCATTCCCATGACCCGCTTGCTTCGATGAGATCACTGATTCATTAAAGCAAGCTATTGTTCATTGGTGCAAACATCAAGTTTGACTCACTGACTGCCATTTTTCAGAATCTCATCAAAATGTGAACATCTATCAAGGTGAACCCGTCAGCTAATCAAAGCAGTGTTCCCTGAAGACATTTTTTATTCTACTAGCGCTACATATAATTAACTGATGTTGAACTCACCGATGAGTGGTCCCAGCTATATCTGATGCTTGAGAAGCCATATCAATAAGTCTTGTGAAGCAGTTGATCAGATAGATTGTCACAAATGAATTCTGAAAACAAGACATTTCACCATGGAAAAATTGATGAATGTTTATGGTATATTTTTTCACAAAATGAAACCATTATGAGGTGGATGATTATGAACAATATTCATAAAATATATTGAGAGCAAACAATGGAAAACTTTTGGTTCAACCCTAGTATACCATTTATTGATAAAGTTTACCTGAACAGCAACACAAAAGAAAAAATTGTGTCTGAATGAAATGCTGTTTCAATATATCTAACATTAAAATATTGGTTTACAGGGTGGTGTACTTACCCTACTTATAAGGGCACTAAGATCAGTTGGAGAGAGATTGTCATAAGTACCCAGAAATATTGGAACTGCTATTGCTATATAGCTAAGTATGCTGCCTAGGTAGTCACCACAGTTTACAGAAACTGGAATTTATAAATTGTAATACACTGTAAATCAAAGTATGCAATTTTGGTCTGTTTAAATTATTTGAAATATACATGTACTTGCAAATGAAATATGAATTTGTATATATGTCATTATAATTATGCCAAATAAATTAAATCAACCCTGCATCACTCACAGCAGATTGATAAATTGCGAATATAATTTTGCATCATACTATACCATATATACCATGGTATGTAGTGCTGTGATGTCATTTTGAATTAGACATGATTCATTTGGCCTAATACTGTAAATTGCTTTAATTCGACAGCCGTTTTAAGATGGCGGATTTATAAAAACTGCCAAATTAAGTCTATGCCAATTTTTTTAAATGAAATTTCCGGGAATTTTCGTTCGGTGCTTTTTCCATGTGTTACCTAATTGCATGATAAAACTTGGGTGAAAATCTTAATTGAAACGGATAAATGTCAATTTTAAACTATTTCTTGTGATCTTAAGAGTTCCTGCTGGTTTAGATAAAACAATCTGTTACCAGGAGTGATAAAATTGCATTATTTGTCACTGGCGAGCTGTAAAAGAGTAAACTGAATGAATTCAAATCACCAAATTAAACAGCAGCCAAAATTTCAAAATTTGTCCTATCAGCCAAATTAAAGCAATTTACAGTATGGAACTTTAACTTAAATGTTTAACACAAGATACATGCTATCAACTACTTTATGTACATGTCTCCATGTGTCAAAAGTTTTGAATAAAACCATGTGGTCTGAGCTTAAGTTTAGTTTATTTTTTTTTTATTAAAAACTATATTTCAAATCAAAAACATATATACAGTACAATTAATACATTTACATAAAAAGGTTACATGTTGTAAAATGATTTTTCCCTATCATATATCATTTTTAAAGTTTCCTGCTCATTCAGCAGATCACATTTAAACATATGGATAGCTTTTTTTATAATCAGACTTTTAAAATATTTTTCTTGTGCTAAATTTTCAATTATACCAAGTTTTTGTTTATCACTGAGACAATTACAATCACTGGTGTTCCAAATATTTAAAACTTCTTTACACTTAACAAAATAGTGCATATCATCATCAATTTCATTATCACAATATTTACATTTATCTGAATCTTGTATTTTACACTGTTTTAGATATTTGCCACTTGGATAAATTTTATGGATAATCTTCCATTGGATAATTTTGAGCTTATTATCTTTTGTACAATTAAAAAGTGTGTTCCACACATTCTTACTTATCAATGTATTATCATATTTGATATCACATTTTCTTGCCAAGACTAACTCTGATCGTATATACTTTGAATCTGATTTACATAATTCTCTATTTAGTTTATACAAAACACTAGATAAACATTTCACCTTCAACTATAAATTTCCTGCCATTATATCTCTTGATAATATCCATACTAATCCTTTTTTATATAACATCATACCATGAGGACAATGGAATAAATGAATTCTTATTGCATATTGTTGATTCAATGATCAATGTTCATCTAGTAAGTACAACTATTTATTACACTCTATTGTCATTGAAACAATGGTTGGGATCTACATATGTTTATCAAGAAGGTACTTCTTAATTACCCAAATGCAAGTAGGTAGTTACCAGTTTCACCACCAGGTGGCTGATTCGGGTCAATTAACATGGCAGGTATATAAGAAAGTTCCCTTAAACTTGAATATTATCAATTTAAGTGGCTCAATTTTCATATAACCCTTATGTGTCTGATACTTATACTAATGAAAATATGTCCAGTAAAGCAAAATATTATCTGGTTACTAAAAGAAAAGATATTTCATTTTTTGTGATTTTATAGCATGGGGTCTATGGGGAATCTCCCCGAGCTAGAAGTCACATTTTCAAAGAAAATTAATTTTTCAAAGTTGATAAACACTTTTTAAAACCACATTTCTAGATGTAATTTTACATGTAGATTTCAAATATGATATTACTTTGACTGAATTTTTAATGACGTAAATCAAGATTATTTCTCCTCGCATCTGGGTTATTGATATTACAAATTATTTTAACTTACAATTGAGAGCATACTCTCTGCGGATAAGTCCACTCTGAGCCTGTAGAAGCTTTGAGAGTTTGTGGTTTGCTTTTTGTGCCTCCAGTCGGCCAGCCTGATAGAAGGCAGCTGATTCAGCATTTACTCTTATCTGCATGTGCTTGAATCTACAATGACCAAATATGTTGAAGTTTGGATATGATACACCATTATTATAGTATTATAGTATTCATCAGTGTTTTCCTATTGTTGTAAAAATTTACATCACACTGGGGTAAGCTATTCCAAATCGATATCACTGTGGTGGAAATCTTCAACTTGTTTACAAAACAGATCCATTTCAGAAACAAAATATTGCAATTGATTTTTTATTTTTCAATAATTTCACGAGTTGTAGACAGAATCTTCATAACACTTTTGGCACAAACTGATGTCAGCATAATATGTTTCAGAAAATCTAAGCATTTAACAAATTGGTTCATGAGACGCCATAATGAACAAAATAATTCCTCACTATTGTTATGTAAATTGAATGGTTGAAAGTGCAGATGTTAACCATTTTTAACATTCAATTGACGTAACAAAAGTGTGGAGCTATATCGATAAATGTACAATGTATGACATGGCCTAGTAGGTACTCACTTAAAATCTTCACTTTTCTCCTGTTTGACAACATAATGTATGATATGGCCTGGTAGGTACTCACCTAAAATCTCCTTCATTTTTCTCCCGTTTGACAACATAATGTATGACTGGGCCTAGTAGGTACTCACCTAATATCTCCTTCTTTTTCTCCTGTTTGACAAAATAATGTATGACATGGCCTTGTAGGTTCTCACCTAAAATCTCCTTCATTTTTCTCCTGTTTGACAACATAATTGTATGATATGGCCTGGTAGGAACTCACCTGAAATCTCCTACATTTTTCTCCTGTTTGACAACATAATGTATGATTGGGCCAAGTAGGTACTCACCTAAAATCTCCTTCATTTTTCTCCTGTTTGACAACATAATGTATGACTGGGCCTAAGAGGAATTTGTTGATGACAGTGAAGACAATGAAGAAGGCCAAGACACTCACTGGTCCAATGTACCCAGTCCTGAAAAATAAGATTGCTGTGAAAGAGAGATGAATGAAAGTCCAGCAGACAAAAATATGTACATAACTGGGAATTTTGAAAATCAAGTAAATCCATTTCTCAACATTTCAGCCAATTATTAGTTTCAGCATGGGCTTTCAAGAAAAAGCCCATGGTTTCAGGCATCTGCCCCATCCCTAATATGTACATCCCACTTTCCATAACATATAGACCTTCACAAGAATGCAGGTGATGAGGGGGGGTAGCAGTGATATGATGCAAGACAAGTTTGAAATGTTTCTTACCCTGTCCATGCTTGGTAAGTATAGTAGGCTATGGTAAATGGTGTGATAAGAAGACGGGATATGATTTGACTCAGGTTATTGCACAGTTTATCTACATCTTGAGCGATTCGTTGGTCTCTAAAAATATATAACAAATTGAAAAGAACATACATATATATAAAGAACAAAGGGAGGGGTTTGGGGTAGATCCGGCTATGAAATGAGGTCCTTAATATTACCTCCATCAGGTGGGTGGTTAGGAAATATAATTATCAAAACTGTAAAACCAAAAAGTCCTTTTTAGCTAGAATAAACACATGATTGTGGAACACAATATAAAGGAGCATGTCGGTTATCGCAAACAATTTCAGAAGGTTATATCTTGCATTATGACTATTTTCTGACAATGAAGACAAGTTTATCTTTTAGATCAATTCATTATCTCAAAGAAAATTATGCACAGTAATAATAAATTCAAACAAACTCGGAGATAGTTAACTAGCAATTAACCATCAACACACTTTTTCAAAGATGTTGACCCTATTTTCACCAAAAATGCAATCATTTTTTACAATGTTTAATGCATTACTATTCTTTATTTTGATGTCTCAAATAGTTCTTGAAAGAAAAACTTAATTGCATTAAGACAAGTGTTCCCCGTGTTATTTCTCCATTGAAAAATCTCATGCTATCCATTGGTTTCAGTTCATTTTGGTCATCCAAATTGAATATCTTTAAAGTCCCTGGAGCAATCAAATTTTCCTTTTAGGAAATCGAACATGTCTCAAAGCACATTCTAATTATGCATACAACAATATAATAATAGGTTGCATTTTTGGTGAAAATTAGGGCATCATTTTTGAAAAAGTATGTTGATTGGTCCATTGCCCCTTCAATATCACTTAGGACTGATTAACTAAATTATCATTATATATACTTTTCTTGAAGATAATGAATGGATCTAAAAGATACACCCATGTTCATGATCAGAAAATATTCATAATTCAAGTTAGAATCGTTTGAAATTGTTTGCGATAACCTACGTGCTCCATGAATTGATACTTACGGATTGTCAATATCAATGTCTAAGACATTTATCTTGTAATAGAGGACATCCCTGAAGTATTGTTTGTGAAGATAGCGGGTGATGGAACCACGCCATGTTAAGTAAAGCACCCCACTGGCATACTGGCTGCTACTCTTTATCTGGAGCAAAATACATCTTTATGATTAAATGTAGCATATCATAGAATCAGGACAATGTACTTGAATTAATAATTATGGAATTCTACATCATACAGGTTGGTTAATGTATTTAAGATACAAAAGAACTTGGCAAACATTTTCTCTTCATTTACCACCTGACATTATATTTCTGGAAACATTTCCAAATGTATTTTGAGACATGCAAAAATGAATTCTGAATGATCAGCGATTTTGCAACAGGTGCATTTGACAGAAAATCCTAGAATATTTGATCATAAAGATAGCTGGCAAACAACTGATCTGTTTCTAAACAGGCTATATAATTACACTACTTACAAAGGCTATGGCGAGGACCAAACCAATGGATACAAGTAGGTCAGATCTGAAGGCAACCTGGTCCTTGTCCCCAAGAGATTTGTAGAACTTACTGGGTATCAGACCAACATTGTAGATCACATACTGCTCTGTAATATAAAAATACTAATTTGTGTAAAAATTATGGATTTATTGTCAATCAAAAACAGCTGTCAGGAACAAAATGAATGATATTGCCAGTTGAGCATCACTACAGTTATCTCATTCAGCTGAAAACATATGTTTTTGTTGAAGTATTGACATTTTTAAAATAGAAATTTGTTCATAAATACTAGTAATCAATTCCATTAAATGATTCATGTATTTGCCATATCATCTAATCAGATATGCAATACACCTGTATTTAAATGAGGTGCTTCATATTTTTCGGACCAACAGGACTTTGCACTTCTTTTGCAATACAAAGTCAGATTACCCTCAGTCCTCACATACCTAAATCAAGTGAAAAAGTTGATCACCTCAAGGTAAGAGTTGCTCCCCTAAGTTAAGGTATTTCATTAAGCAGTGTGTTAACCAATGGGTTGATATCAATTTGGATTAGAGGAAGGGTGGGAGAGTGAGTTTATTGTATCCTACATGTATAATGTTACTCACCAAGGAGTCCTATAATGTTACTCACCAAGGAGTCCTATTATATTCCTCACCAAGGAGCCCTATTATATTCCTCACTAAGGAGTCCTGTAATGTTACTCACCAAAGAGTCCTATTATATTCCTCACAAAGGAGTCCTAAAATGTTACTCACCAAGGAGTCCTATTATATTCCTCACAAAGGAGTCCTTTAATGTTACTCACCAAGGAGTCCTATCATTATTATGACAACAAAAAGTAGCACACTGGCAGACTTCCAAGAGGGAAACATCACCCCTAGCAACCGACATAGCCTCTTTATGAACAGCAGACCAAATTTGTAACTGAAAATACAATAAACAACATTTTTTACAAAAAAATGTTGCAGCAAGATATTTAATATTTGCAAGAGAATGCTCATTCTTATCCAATACTCAAACAATTTGAGGTATATACAGCAGGTTTGTAAAATGTACTTCTAACAATGGCAGCATATATAGCTAATTACATCCTGTCTGAGCAGACAGATATATATGTATATTTCTTTCTCTTCTATCACTTTTCTTCTAACTTTCTATCTTAAAAAACAGTTTTATATTTTGTCATCTTGATTAATACAATTATGTAATATAATCATATGTAGCTATATACACCCGCATGGGTGTCAGTTGCCTGTACATTGAAAATCGATATAATTGACAAGTAAACAATATGCAAACTGTATATACTATCCTCGGGATAATCCTAAAATCCCGAAACCTCATATATGGATCAACCTCTCTAAATATACCTTTTCGTATGACCTCTGAAGAATCCCATAGTTTTACTAAAAAATGACAAAACATATCCTGAACATGTACATTGTTGTTCATTGAATATAGAGAAAATATGGTATCTCAAACAGAATGTATAATTGTTTGAAATAATAAACATGTGAAAAAGATGTTTAAAAAATAGAAATTTGAATAAAAATGAATGAAATAATTTTACTTTTGGTGTATAAATCCAAATTTTGAAGACATCTCCTTTTTTCCACATGATAAACCTGCCATGTTCTTCCTCTTTCTCAGATCTTACTTGGATTTGCCAACTGTTTAACAACATCTCTATTAATAAATGTATGACTATGTATCATTTTACATCATTTACCTACTTAATGAAAAAGATGCTAACATGTTAAACGCCTGATAAAAGATTAGAAAGTACAGGTGAAGTCCATAAGAAAAGAACAATCAACATACAATGGCTATATCAAAATATCATTGATACTTGACTTTAAAATAAACAGTCAAAGGTCTTATTCTTGACATCTCAATTGAATGCAAAAGTGAGCACTGAATATATAATAGTAACAGGATCTCTGTGGAGTTACTCAGTCCACAAGGGAAGATATCATGAGTTCATTGAATGATAGCAAATTTAATCATTATTATTATAGGCATGTTATTCCTTTAACTCCCAACCAATCACCTATTAAAACATAATTTGCAAAATGTTTAAATGTAACAATTCTCCAAAGTATTTGATATGTTTGTTTTTTTTAGTTTTATTTTATATTAAACATAAAAAATATACTTTCATCATGCAACAATAGGTCAAGATGAACAATTTTTAATGGTGAGCTAAATGTTTTTTAAAATATATGAAAAGCAATTAAGGTCAGGTGGTCACCTATGATAAAGTATTTGATAATATTTTGCCTAAGTCAGTGTGTATGACATACATGTACATGTAAGTATCATTGGTCGATGATTAATGATACCATAACAGATTACAAATAAGTATTTGAGGACAGGATTACCACAAGTCATCAAAAGGCTTTTATATCTGCTCTCATCATTTTTTGACCTAGTTGTAAGCTTATAAACAAGTGAAAATGTAGCACTTATTTCATCAAGTTGTAGGAGTTGAAATGGTATTGCAACCGTTAAAAAATCATTAAAGGATGGAATTACATGTATAGTTATTAGGGTTTATTCCTTGTCTCAGGAGAATTTTGCATTTTTACTGAGCAAGATAGTTCAAGAAGCGGAGATATTTATCCTTAGCTGAAAAAGTTAAATGTCATTTTAGAGATTGATAAGTGTACCCTCATTTTACTAGTATAGTGTAAATGAACATTTAACACAATAATATTGTGTTAAATCGCTTGATGTTATGTGTTTTTATATTATGGTCAAGTATCAGTTGCATGTTATCACAGAAAAATGGTTTTGATGGATCCAGAACTTGCAATAAAGGAAAGAATAGTAAGGAGGTTAAACCCAATAACGCCCAAGAAAATTCTTAATAGTAAAGAACGCCGTTATTGAGTTTGACGACATTGAACTAGGGCAATCTCCACCAGGTTTGCTTATTGTGGTTAGACTTTAATGGTTAGTGATCAGGAGCAAATAATTCATGTGTGTGAGTTTCAAATGTTCAGATGTTTTCATCAGATCCGAGAATCAATGTCTATACTGGCAGAAAGCCTTGACAGTGTAATGACCTTTGATAGCAAGTCGCTGCTACAGTCTCAGCTGTAGTGGCTAGCCCTTATGACTCAGGGGTAGAGCGTCTGACTCAAGAGTGGAAGGTCATGGGTTCGATTCCGGCACTGGGCATTGAATTTAGCACACTCCCTTTTGAGTCTAGTATCTGGCTCGGTAGACTGCAGCTCCCCAGACGTAATTTGTTGCTGCTGCATCAGTGTCTTCATTCGGACATGCCAAAGGGTTGTTACAAAACCTCACTCAATTAAAAACAATCACAATCATACCAAAACATAATCATGCACAAAATGCAGGTCAATTTCACAACAAAAGTTCCTGAGTAAATAAAAAATTGTCATTGACAAAATCTGATTGTTTTTCGTTGACTTTGGTTTCTGATTTTGGAGGTCAAATTTGAAATGTCGTAACCATATTATTCATCAGCTTAAAATCAGAAATTGATCAAGCATATTAATTCAACATATTTGGTAAACATGGATACTGCATCGTTCTTACCTTTTAGGGCCCAAAGTCTCTAGCAATTTAGTGTGAAACACAGGCATGCCGCACACACTTTTCTCACTTTTCCTGGCAGGAACAGCTGTTTAATTTTAGAAAATGACTCGCTAGACCGAAATGACTAGATATTTTCGTTTAGTGTAAACAACCAATATTTCCACGAAAACTCCCGGGTAGAGTGCTGTGTTATAGTGTCAAAAGAGACTAGTTTTTTAGTCTGAAATAAACTTGGAAAACAATCAATTATCAGACAGACAAGTCTATAATATCATATTTCACTTTTCATAAATTCCAGAGAAATTAATTCAATTGAAAAATATTGACAACAAACACTCACAGTGATTATAAAGTCAAAACTTGAATTTTTTTCCAAAAAGGTCTTGGCACCAAAGTCACATTATACCACAACCTGGTGGCATCACATTTTTGAATGATATAAACACATGTATGCATAACAAGTTAAAACAATTAGTCAGGGTCGTAGCGCTATTTTTCTAAGTAGTACGCCACCACCACAGGAACAAGAGTTGGGTGAATCAAAAAACGAGTATTAAAGGCCCCCAGGAAAATTTTGAAATTTCGTTGTATTTGGAGCGAATTTGCAACCATCTGGTATGCCTGTGCGTACCCAGCGTACCGGGCGCTACGCCCATGTTAGTGGTTAAAATGTTTATCCTTTTTTAACCAATCAAATAATGTTGGAAAATCTATACAATAATAGTGAACAATTTGCTGTTTTAAAGATTTATTGATCTAAAACTTTTGTGACATTGTTTAAGTAAGTTTGAATGGTGATACAGTGTTACCTGCCTGAATGGACAGATACCCCAACAGTCAACAATGTGTCAGAGAAGCTACAACTAACAATGACATCACTAGTCAATCCCAGATGATTCAGATAAATGAAAATTCAGTTTTATGTATATTTAGGCAAACTTCAAGCATATGTCACATAAATTCCGAATCAATGTGACATAAATTTCAAATGTGACATAAATTCCAAATGTGACATAAATTCCAAATCTGACATGAATTCAAAATGTGACCTAAATTCTAAGTTACCAGTGACATCATGCAGAACCTAGGTCATAGAAAAGATGACAGTTGTGGACTGTCTATTTAGATCTAGTTGTATCTTCTCATAGACAGACAACAACTACCATCTTTCTATCAACAAAGTTTCTATGGTGCACAGTGATATGGCTGATTGAAGTCAAAATAGTCATATGGTGTGCAGTGATATGGCTGATTGAAGTCAAAATAGTCATGTGCTAAAGAATATAGTACTGAGGTCATAGAATTCAAATGTTACAACTTATATGTACTGTAGGTTAGGATCCAATTGTAAAACAGTCATAGGAAATAACGGTGACAATTATCATTAGTAGGTAATTTCTGTATCTACATGATAGAGCTAATTCATATAATTTAGCAATTACAATTCTTGAATCTTAACCTTTAAAGAGGCCAAAGATGTTAATTTCACATTGTATATGAAAATCATGTTGTGGATGTTCAGAGATCAATAAAAATGACCTTATCCAAGCTATGAAATTGTAACAAGAATGTATCTTATTTCTCCATCAAGCTTTAGGTAGAAATTCACTGTCGATCATCTTTTTTCTACAATTCAGATTTTTTGAAAAATATCTAGGTGAAATATATACTGAGGTATAACAAAATATGTGAAAATTAGAAAGATTGACCATTTGGTTATTTCTAGAAAAACATTTTCATTTAACATGGGTTTCAATGTGAAAATGCATGTCTTTAAATCAAAAAATTGCACAATTCAGATTCTCATTAAAAAATTGTGATCATTTTACATGTTTTATGGCAAATCAGAATTATTAAAAAAAAATATCTGTGAAAATTCACTGTCCGGATCTTGAGAAAAAAAACTTTTAATATTATTGATCAGTGGGAAAATATTATCATTACATTGTGTATAATGACTCATATTGCCAAAAGTGTGTCATATAAAAAAAGATGAAGAAAATTTATTGTGGAGATTAAAAATGAAAAAAATAAATTCTGCCAGGTTTCGAACCCAATCTCCCATGGTTTAAAACTTTTAACTCCTGGTCACACAGCGCTTTAAACAATTGTGCTACGAAGGATTTGATCAATCAAAGGAATATATCTTATCAAATAAACAATTATCAAAGTATTACTCTGTTTTCATTTTTGGCATATTTCAGATGCGCAAACTTACTGCGCAATGGACAGTGAAGTTCTACCTTATTGTGCCACTGCTGCCATATTTAGATCAGCACAAAACCTATGTTTATTACCCTACCCAAACTAATGAATTTTCAGATTTGTCCCAAACTAATGAAACTATTGTTCCTTTTTGGTGATATCAACCTTGAATATGGTTTTAAAAGTGTGATATAAGCTTATTGGAAGTCCCAAATTATATACAGAACTTCTCGCTATTAATTAATACAACATACATAATTGTAATTAATTTAAAAAGTGATTGTCATTTATTCTAAAAGCAAATTGCGAGTTACAATTATACATATAGCAGTGTATATAACATATTAACTCTTTTATCACTTTTGATTATAACATCTATACTAATTTTCACCCTGATGACCTTGTAGTGATATAACATACTACAACTCTATGTAAAACATCAAACAAACAAGGCTTAGACTTTGCCTTGGGATTTGATGCATCTATGCATATCCTTACAACAAGCTAAATTTAAATAATTTCAAAAATGACTAGATACATACTGTACTTCTACTTAATTTGGTGGCTGTTTTAATTTGGCCACCAAATTCCCCTTTAATTTTAATACCATGTAAATTAGTACCATTAGTGCATTGTACGATTGTAAGTCTTCAAAATTAAGTAGCCGCCAAATGTTCAAAACAGCAAATCCGCCAAAGTAAGTAGCGCCAGTAGAAGTAAAGTACTGCCTTATCATACTGTAGTTAAGAGGGCAAGGTCTGAGGATAATACAATCTGACATATATCTTTTAATTTGATTTATCAATGATAAAAGTAACCTAACTAAGAGTATGGCACATGAGGACTACACACATTTAGCACAATCATGGACCTATATGGCACAATCAAACTGTTTTCAATCTTGATATTGATATTTTCATAATGATAAGGGGCCAAGTCAATATTTTGATTCTGTCTCAAAACATGACTAATAAAATTTCTGAACCCCTTCACAATAAATGTAATTTGACATTTATTGATTTATTTCAAATTAAAATTCATTACATACCAAGAATTGCTGCACACCAGCAAAACATAATGGGTCAATCTGATTCATGTTTGTAGATAGATACGTTGACTTTACATACAGTATTTACAATGACACTAGTTGACCAACCAAATTTTCACTTTATATGTGTAAGACAATTAAAAATATGATACAGAATTAGATAATAATTACCCTGAGGTCTGGAAAATAGAAGTAATGACTACTATACTCTGATTAAGCTATATAAATATTAATATAAATATGGCATAACATATATAAATAACTCCAAGAATATGTGTCATGATGGTCTTTTATACGAGTTTGAATAAAAAGGTACCTTATGAAGGCATTAAATTCTGTTAATGCAATTCTGATTGGGTAACTGGATTAAGGAAGTCAAGATCAAAACATTATCAAAGAGAGTTGAAACTCTCTGTTTAAAGAAGTGCAACACAACCAAGGATTTGGTTGTTTGTAAGTCATGCAGCTTTAATGCCTTGCTTTTTATAATACTTCTCCTGGAGAGCTTTAAAATCAGGAACATTAAGCCATTTACCATCTTCGTCTACCTTTGTTTTTAAAGGGGCAAACTTAATGATTTTTCCATTCAAAAATGTGGCAAACCCTGGGCACCATCTCAGATGAAACATAAACAACTTAAAGAACCAGCATCTGAATGTGTCAGGCCAGGATAATATGTAGGGGCATTCCACACCCATAACAGCATATATGAAGGCCATGGTGCCTCGCTCAGAAATGAACTGAAACCCTGGAATTAGATTGTTTCCTGTGATGTAAGCATCAAGCATTTTCTGGAAATCCTTTGGCGGGTTTTCTAATGCAGGTAGCAAAAGCTTCCGTTCAATCTCCTTGCATATTGCAGTGGACTCTTCTAAGCCATTAGAACAGATGTTATATTGGTCGTCAATGCCAAGGAGGTAACCAATACCCCGCCAGTAGAACACATAATCCTCCAAGTCTTCTTTAGTGCACTGACCAATGTATTTATCATAGTACATAACAACTGCTCCCATGAATCCGCTTTGTACAAGTCCCATGTCACATTGAGAAATATACTGTTTATCACCAAGACGTTTGGTCATGGATTCCCCTATACTACTATGCATTTTGCGAACCATCATTAGTGACTTATGCGCACTGTCATTTACGTCCCATGGATCTCCCATAGCCCAGAGAACCAAGTGCCGAAATGTGCTGTCATATCTTGCCATTGATTTGGCTGGGGTATCAGATTTCCGTGTGAATACAAGAGGCTCCAGCAAATTCACGATGCTTAATCCACTCAAAAGTGAACAGAACATAGAGAGTGTTATACTAGAAACATGGTCCAAGAAAAATCGTTGGCCGCGTTTAAACTTTTCCATGTCCATCCAAGGGGGTGGTGCCTCTGGGGATGATCCATTGTCTCCTGGGTAGTTGTTTCCTTCGTAAAGGCTTTCAAGATGCATTCTGTAAAAGATAATTGACTTTATAAGCAGAAAAGTTCCATACCAGTAATTAACTAGAAAAAAAAGTCCATTTCACTGGTTCATTTCGTCAGTAGAACGGCAAAAATAAGAAATTGGGAGACCATTGTGCAATCATATATAGAAAAGTATATTCATAATGTACATGAATGACATTTGTATATCTTGGATTGCTTCTAGTTTGGCTTATAAAGTGTGTGGCCTCTTATATTTGGATGTTTCTCTGCCATGTTATTTTCAATAAGATTAACATGGCTGAAATTCTTCAAATTACAAGACGGCACAGGCTTATTGCACAAAAAACTAAAAAATCTGAAATATACAAATGTCATTCATGTACATTATGAATATACTTTTCCATATATTACTGCACAATGGTCTCCCAATTTCTTATTTTTGCCGTTCTACTGACGAAATGAAGCAGTGAAATGGACTCTACATGTATTCATTCAGTTTCAAACAAGCAGAATATTGTGAATCTATCTATTTAAACACGTACTTACACTGTGTGTAGGTGGGGTCGCAAGGTATCCAAGAATAAGTACAGTCAATGACATAGCTAGCTAAATAAAAAAATGTGAGACCTTGTCGTCGAGATAAAAGGACTAATTAATTATCATATTGAACTTGAACTGTTGAATTTTGTAACTTTGTCTTCGGTATTTTCGTTCGGTGTATATTCAAAACAATGTAATCGGGGTTGTAATTGTACTTCTTATGAATTTCAGCCATATAAACCTAGTTAATTTCATGAATTTAGAAATCGGATACATTTGTCATTGATTTATTTGAAGTAATACGATGCTTTTATATGTTAGTCGATCGTGTAAAATATTCCCGGGAAAAAGGTGGGTGTGTCATGACCTTGAACTTTGACCTATGTTATTGTTTAGGGGTGTTACTAAATACCACCTAGGTGTCCCACACCTAGGTGCCCCTTTCCAGGTGTCCCTTTTCAGGTGGCGGCGCGAGGCTTGGAATATAGGGAAATATTGGTCGATTAGACCTTGATATAAGTCAAATAATAGTACAAGAGTATGAATGGAGTTGTACTTTACTTGATGAGGTAAGAATAAAAGTAGTTTTGTGACATTTTAAAGAGAAAAAAGTATTTTTTCTAGATTTTTTTCTGACGCCATGTTGCTTTCGGAAAATAAAAATCTCTCAACTTTCTATCAGCATTTCCAACACTGGTCTTTGTTATTACAAAACCAAACGTTGTTGTATGTGTTCATCGTTGTATCATTTATATGAGATGTTTACAACAATTCTAAAGATTCAACTGTCTTGTCAAAGATGACCCAGGACCCTATCCTACAGATTTTCTTTATCAAAAGCCAGATATCAGTTCCTGGTCAGTTAGGTTCCTCTAGTCTGATATTGGATATAGACTAGGCAGCCAGTGTACATGTAAGAGAATAAGTCTAGTACTAAGGAAAAGTGTATGTATATGTAGACTGAGCAATAAAAAGTACATGACTTTGAACCCATGCACAGTATTCAATAATTCTAGGACAGAAAATATTGTGCATCTTCAGCATTCACCTGAGAAGATACATGTATCTCATGATCTCTCAAGACTCGGCACAATGCCTTGTTCTGTAGGCATCTGGATGAGGAACGGGAGCAGCTATTCTGCCATCAACTGAATACTTTGGGGAAAATACAGAAGCTGCTGTCAAGTCAGTTCAACGTAATACACGTGTATCACGTGCGATCCCAATATCTCAGTTTTAAATACAGACATGGGCTTTCAACTAGATGATTATGAGAGTGCTTTGAAGCTCAAATATTGTTATATATCATTTTACTACCAAGATACGACCACTTCCAAGTTAAAATTGTCCATTCATGAGTGCCTCGATAAGATCTACATTCTCTTAAGTCATCATTTTTTTAAAATAATTCAGTATTCATGTATCCTAATCATTCAATGTTCACTTTCAGCATTACAACTCGCCATGAAAGTGCTGCACAAAATCCGATCCAAATGATGCTGAAATACATGTAGTGAAAGGCTGTGTGAAAGTGTATGCTTGCCTCCACCCAAGCTTTCCCCAAGACTATCATCATCAGGTTTGATATTAATGTTCAAATAATTATTGTCACTAGCTCCAGGGATAACCTAAAAGAAATTATCAGTATCTATGTAAATTGTTCTTATACCTGTATACTGGATTTCATTTGATTGAACAAATTTACTCAATATTTCATTAAGTTTATAGTCAAATTGGTTTGTTGCTCTTGTAAATGCTGATATATGCCTCATGGTGTCATTGTGTATTACATGTAGCTTAGCTTTTTATGTATATTTTGTAATAATAATAATATAATATGTATAATGATAATTTGTGAGTATGCACTTAAAAGTATCATTACTATACTTGTCAAAGTATTTAACCCAGTGGTCGAAACCCTTTCAAACAGATATGTTGATTTTTCTGTTATTTCAGCCAGAAGAGCAATTCCATGTTTTGGACACCACAACACAAAACAAGAAAGATGAACAGTGGTTTGTGCTGACTCATTTAAACCAGACAACAATAGTCTAAAAAATAACTAGAGGTAGGATATAACATAATATTGTAATGTCATCAAGCATAAGCAAGTTAACAAAAATAAAGAAAAACATTTTTCAACTTTAATTTCTTTTTTTTCCTGGTAACGAAAGGTATTATAAAAAGAATTTCAAAAACAATATTTAATTTGGATGGAAGATGTAACTTAGAGAAAATCAATTTTAGGGATCGGTCCTACTGAACTCAATGTAAAATGTTCAAAACAGAAAAACGGCTCTTAACCCAAAATCATTCGCTGGCTTTATTTTTGACATTCTAATGTTCTTTCCTTGTAAAGTATAAGATGGCGCACTCTTTTGAAAAAAATCACTAAATTATTCCATGATTTCAACATTTTATGGTTATTTGTTTGATGGTTTGGTGAGCCTCTGTAGCCTATAGAATGCTTTAGTGCAGTTGGAGTGAAATATAACAAAAATAAAAAAATCATTTTTCAACTTTGATATTTGTTTTTCCTAGTAAAGAAAGGTATTATAACAATAATTTCAAAAACAATATTTAATTTGGAAGATGCAACTTAGAGAAAATCAATTTTAGGGATCCGTTCTACTGAACTCAATGTAAAATGTTCAAAACTGAAAAATGGCTCTAACCCAAAATCATTCACTGGCTTTATTTTTGACATTCTAATGTTCTTTCCTTGTAATATACAACATGGCGCACTCTTTTGAAAAAAAATCACTAAATTATTTCATGTTTTCAACATTTTATGGTTATTTGCGTTTGATGGTTTGGTGAGCCTATGTGGCCTATAGAATGCTAATGCAGTTGGAGTGAAATATAACAAAAATAAAAAATTCATTTTTCAACTTTGATTTTCCCTTTTCCTGGTAAAGAGAGGTATTATAAAAATAATTTCAAAAACACTATTTAATTTGGAAGATGCAACTTAGAGAAAATCAATTTTAGGGATCCGTTCTACTGAACTCAATGTAAAATGTTCAAAACTGAAAAATGGCTCTAACCCAAAATCATTCACTGGCTTTATTTTTGACATTCTAATGTTCTTTCCTTGTAATATACAACATGGCGCACTCTTTTGAAAAAAATCACTAAATTATTTCTTGATGTCAACATTTTACGGTTGTTTGCGTTTGATGGTTTGGTTCAGCCTCTACAGCCTTTAGAATGCTAATGCAGTTGGAGTGAAATATAACAAAAGTAAAAAATTCATTTTTCAACTTTGATTTTCCTTTTTCTTAGGTATTATAATGATAATTTCAAAATCAATATTCAATTTGGAAGATATAATTTAGAGAAAATTAATTTTAAGGATCGGTCCTACTGAACTCAATGTAAAATGTTCAAAACTGAAAAAACTGCTCTAACCCAAAATCATTCGCTGGCTTTATTTTTGACATTCTAATGTTCTTTCCTTGTAATATACAACATGGCACACTCTTTTGAAAAAAATCACTAAATTATTTCATGATTTCAACATTTTAAGGTTATTTGCATTTGATGTTTTGGTGAGTCTCTGTAGCCTATAGAATGCTATGCAGTTGGAGTGAAATATAACAAAAATAAAAAAAATTCATTTTTCAACTTTGATTTTCCTTTTCTTAGTAAAGAAAAGTATTATAAAAAGAATTTCAAAAACAATATTCAATTTAGAATATGTAACTTAGAGAAAATCAATTTTAGGGATCGGTCCTACTGAACTCAATGTAAAATGTTCAAAACTGAAGAAATGGCTCTAACCCAAAATCATTCACTGGCTTTATTTTTGACATTCTAATATTCTTTCCTTGTAATATACAACAACATTTTTCAACATTGATTTTCCTTTTTTCCTGGTTAAGAATCCAATCAAAGCAAAATCGAGTTCATCTTGACAAAAAGAAAGAGATTAAAATTTTCAAAGAACTTGTGATTATACAATACATTCTTATGTTATAGCATTTATAAACAATGCTTTGACTTAATTGTTTGCATTAACATGTTGCATATTACCCTTTTATCAAACAATAATCTGCTACAACTAGCCAAATATGGACTAAGGATTATAAAATATATTCTTTAATGATAGCTTCTCAAAACAATGCCTTGAGTTGTTTACAAATGCTGTTGTATAATGCCTCTGTTATCAAACTCTAATCTTCTTCAACTAGAGAAAGAGATTAACTATTTCAAAGAACTATACATTTTACAATATCAATATATACCATTGGGCATATGAATTTTTAGATGACTACAATAATTAAAACTTTAACTTGAATCTTCTTAAATAAGTTTTTTCAATTTAAGTCATACATAAGATTTCTAATAGGGGATTATTTTCAAATGACAGTAAAAAACGAACTCCATTTAGTAATCATTGCATAAGGAGATGAAGGGGTATCCCATGTAAAAAAACTTGATGATGTTTGGAATTACACATAATTTGTGTCTTAATACTGTAATTGCAGGATACAGAGTTATGAGAAGGTCGCAGGTAAACTGTTCTCCACTTTAATGCTGCCGTAACATCTTGCTCCATCTGGCCTTGGCACAGGGTGTATGAGATATATACAACCAACTATGACTACCACCAGCAATACCCTGTTGCCATCTCTCATAGTCCTTATTCCAGGTGTGGACAGTCCGACGTAGAAACAGTTGTACCTTGATCTGCAGATAAAACTTATAGTGAGAATCTAGCTGCATCTGATCAACCATAACCACTCAGTGTTGGATTGTTAATTTATGAAGTGAACTACTTTATCAATAATGAGTTAAAGTCTGGATTACATCAGAGATTATTATGAATGTACTACGTCATGGATTGTATTCTGCATTGTGGATTACATGTATATACATTTAGTTCAAACTACATCCTGAGTTATATAGTACATTATGGATCATATACTTCAAGCTGACCATATCAGCAATTATGACTGACTCTGTCTGGCTACCTCCTCCTCCAACATATAGATTAGGGAGAATGGCATTAGTCCCTGTAATGAACTGTAGAGCTAAGCTTGAAGTTTGCATAATTTCAAACTTGCACTGCTATGGTATCTATAGTTATAAAAAGAGGATCTACTGCTATTGATGCATCATGTTGTTACTTTGTGAAATAATTGACTTGTAGTTTTGTTATGTCACCACCAAAAAGTGGTGACATATTCCATTTTTTGACAGCGGTTGGTGGTTGGTGGTTGGCAATCAGCATCTGTAATAAATTCTTACAACTTCCAATAACTTAACAAATACTGTTTAGACCGACTTCAATTTTTTTCAAAATCATCTAAAAGTTTTCAGAAGTTCAAATCTGACTTTACATTTATGTTTGACCTTGACTGACCCTCTCAAGTCAAAAAAGGTCAAAAAGGTATTTTTTCAAATTGTTTTTTCAAAATCATTTAAGTTCATCTAAGTTCTCAAATGTTCAAATCTGACTATAGATTTGACCTTCAATGACATTCTAAAGGTAAAAAAGATTTGACCTTTAATGACCTTCTCAGGGTCAAAAAGGTCTTTTTTCAACTTGCTTCAAATTGACCAATTTATTTTTTTCAAAATCATCTACAAGTTCTCAGAAATTCAAATCTGACTTAAGATTGAACTCATAATATTGTGAGCAACTAGGTAGTGACATGTCATTTATGCCTTGTTGGCATCTTGTCAGGGGTAGGGGAAAATTCAATTTTAATATGATTGTCATTGAAATCATGCTTAGAATCTTTCAACCTTTAATATCTAATATTATGTGTACATGTAACCATGTTGTTTAAATATTCAATGTCTTATGTCATTATTTTGTGAAATAATTGATGTGTAGTTTTCTTGGCATCTTGTTAGGGTTAGGGGAAAATGTAGTTTTAATATTGTCATTGAAATCATGCTTAGACTGGTTTAATCTTTAACAAGTGTATCAGATCAGAAAATGAAAATTATGTAAATTCATTATATTCATGTAATTCTCTTGTAGCCTAAGTTGTTCTCAATGTTAAATGTAAATTATATGCATATTTTGAAGATGCATATATATCAAATTGTTCTATATGTCCTATATATCTATTTGTATGTTTATATATTTATTGTACATATTGTTAATAATTGTAAATTATCACTGGGCCTCTAGGAAGACCAGTTTTGTACTGATAGAGCTACCCAGAATAACTATAGTTTTCAAATCAAATCAAATCTAATATATTATGTAATTTAAACCATCTTGTTTAAATATTCAATGTCTTATGTCATTATTTTGTGAAATAATTGACTTGTAGATTTGTTGGCATCTTGTTAGGGGTAGGGGAAAACGCAAATTCAATAATATTAATGTTAATCATGCTTAGCCTGGTTTTATCTTTAACATCTAATTATTATGTACATGAAACTATGTTGTTTAAATATTCAGTGTTTTATTTCATTATTTTTTTATCATTTAAAAATACAAGTGGAATGTAGAAAACAAGTTTTCCTAATAAAGTTCATTTATACACACAAAAAGATTTTGAGTCAATATTGTTTTTAGGAAGGAGTAATGGTTTCGGCCAACAAACCACTGCATGCCAGTTAAAATGTTTGTGAATCCTTCCCTGTGAATTTCATATAGTGCACTTGATCAGTTTTTAACATACAGGGTGTCCTAAAATATATGCACTCTGTTTATGGTGTTCTGTTATGTTTTCCAATATTTATAATATTTTGTCCATTCTCCATACTAATACATGATGAACAATAGACTAGATGCGAGTAGAAATACTTTGATTTATGTCATTAAATATTCGTAATTCAGTCAAAGTGATGTCTGAAATCTACATGTTAAAGTACATCTAGAAATATATGGTTTTGAAAATTGCTTTTCAACTTTGAGGATTTAATCTATGGGAAAAATGTGATTTCTAGTTCAGGGAGATTCCCCATAAGGCCCCATGTTATAAAACCACAAAAGTCTCACAACCTCTGATTTTTCAATTTCAATCTAACAGATGTTTTTTTATATTTGAAGTGAGTAAAAGATGTGGCATTGTCCAATTTTGTGAACTCTATAATATAGGCCTAGTATCTAATATAATATAATAGCAAAGACTTTATTTGGATAAATGTACTACGCTGTGTAAGGTGAGGCAATTGCCTCACCTCTGGCCTCACCTACTACAGTATTACTACTATCAACACTTATGTTGACATAATTCAAACAGGGTAGCCCCATTGGTCTGAATCCCATTGGTCCGAATCTCACTGGTCTGAATCCCAGTCGTCCGAATCGCAATTGCTGAATCCCAATCATCCAAATTCAAATTGTCCGAATCCCATTAGTCATCTGAAGCCAAATTCCATTGGTCTGAATCCAGCGGGATTTGGACGATTGCAATTTAAATGGTGTGTAGTCATTCTAACAAAATATATGGATTTTGAACTATGATTATTATAGTCATCATTCAGGCCTCTTATGTCATGTGGATAATTGGTATCCATGTTGCAAAGTGCAATGCAATTTGTGGTATGGGTCTTGGCTGAGAAAAATTGTAAAGCTTGTGTTACTGTGTTAAAATGAACAATCGCAACACCAATGTGCTATTTCTATACAGAATTAGAGTGTAATACAGTGACTGACATAATCGAATCGGAAATGACTCTTATACATGTAGTCTACATGTATGTGACTACACATTTATAAATCAAAAGTTGATATATTATGACCGTCGATTAACCTCATTATGCGACATAATTTCGCAAGAAATACTAGTTTGTGACTTTTGTGGATAATATTTCGGTATTTTGAGCAAATTTATTAAGCATATCGTCGTTAAACATTATGTATTTCGACCATACACGACCACTCGTAAACCCAAGTGGCAGCCATTTTATTTTTTCTCGTCGAAGCCCTCTTCTTTAACACTTTTTTCATGCTATACAATGTCAGACTCGTATTAATTTATCAACTAACGAAATATTTACAAAGCCATTTAAGTTACTGTAAAGTTTCAAAGAGTTTCCTTCACTGAAACATCGTTAATCAGTAGTCTAAAAATCCAGGTGTCCTAGGGGACACCTAGGTGTCCCCAGGTGGGGGCACCTAGGTGCGGGACACCTAGGTGGTATTTAGTATTACCCTTGTTTAGCGTCCTTAGATCTGAAAATATTGTAGAATAAATTTATAAAAATCTTCACTTATAGGTATGTATGATCGATAATATTCACGCGGAAAGGTTGAAATATATACACTTATTGTGCATTCTACTCGAATGTGTCTCATATAGATCAAATAACATAGAAATCAAGAAGTTTATGTTGACATTTTTCTGGACCTTTAAATTTTGTTTACATTTTACATCCGGTATTTTTTGGATGTTCCATGAGTTCTTCCCCCGGTTCTTCCATACCTCCAAAACACTCGTAAACACAAGCTGTACACATTTTCCGTATGTCAGTTGTATTAGGTATAATGGGGCATTGATAAGGTTGATATTTTTCAGTATGAATCGGCTATGAATACAAGCTGAATTACAACATCTGGTCTTGAGCTGTCTACAATTCTGAATCTTGAAGAAATGTAACCCCGAGAATGTAACCTTACTATAAAATACAGTATTTCCTGATTTCGCACCTTGAAAATCTTGTACAAACTACAGAACATTGATATATATTGAGCAAAGGTAGCTATATATGTCCGAAGTGCCAATAAGACACCATATTTGATATACATACTGAACTAATTCGGGTGAATCATGGATACTGGACAGTCGACACAAAGTGATGATCAATTTTGTTATCTTATAAATACACTACCAGCAGAGATGCTTGAGAACATTATTTTTAAGTTAGATATTGAAACGATGTGTAACCTATCCTGCACATGCATACTGTTGTTCAAGAAAATTCATCACAATGAGAGACTTTGGAGATATCTATGTAAGAAGCATTGTAATGCAAATCATATACAGGAGAACAGACAATCTGGGTGTACATGGAAGGTAAGTCATTTGGGGAATTTTCCCAACAGTTGTCACAGATATTTTCAAGTAATGAATACAATATGTCATGTTTAGGGTGCAATTTGTTGAATTTACAATATAGCATTCAAGGGCGTAGCGCCTATTACGCAAAATACGCACAGGCGTACCAAATGAATTTGAAAAAAATTAAAAATATGTTAAAATGCATTCATTTATTTGCGAATTTATTGATGCTTCCTATCGTATCTGTATTTTTACCATTGTCAACATTTAAAGTTGATAAACGCTTAGATTCCATCAAATAACGTCCTTGAAAAAATTCTCCCCAGACCCCCTACGATGTGCGGCCTTCGGCCACTCAATCAGGCATCCCAGTGTGCGTACCAACTCAAAATATAGCCCTACGCCCATGGCATTACAATAATCATACTATATCATAATTTAAAGGTTACATTATAGCCCGGGGGGTTCACTGTGAACAAAATTTGACGGGGGTCCTAGGCTGAACCCTCAGATATCAATATATTCCCATACCAAAATGTCAAATTTGGATGTGTTCCCATACCAACCGATATATTGCCAAAAAGCCATACCAAATCCCCAAATATGAAACCAATACCATACCAAATGTCAAAATATAGGACCAATGCCACACCAATGCCATGACTGGTCCAGAGTAGAATATTTCCTGGGAAAAAAGCTATTTATTTAAACTGAAGAAGGTCTAAGAAGAAGGTGATCTTTGAGGAAAATGAACCAAAACAACTCATATTAGGATATGTGTAACTACCATAATTGTGAGGTTACATATTTTCCATGACCATTCTCATACCAGAAAGTTTAAAAATCTGACCATTTCCATCCCTCAAAAATCATAATGCATTCTCATACATGTACCACATCCTAAAATTTGGGTCCATTGCCATACCAAATGTCAAAAAAGGTACTCCATGTGCGCCGAGGATCCCTGTCAAGGTTTATATACAGTGAATCCCCCAGGCATTATAGATCAATTGTACGTGTATTTTGAATTGTTGCCTTGTATGCTTCATTCTTTTACTTATTCTTTTTCAAGGCTACTTTCATAGAGAATTATGGGAGGAATGCAGTGAAAAAGCAATGGAAGGCAGGTGCCTTGAGTAAGATACAAACATATGATGACCTACCGTGTAAACCAATCTGTCCAATGGATGTTGAAACTTGGGGAGAACTTTTCCAGATGGAACTAAATAGATAGTAGGAACAGGATGTATTAGGTGGCTTAAAATCCAGGTTTAATACTTTTATAGATGGCATCTTTGTCAATTATTGCCAAAGGTTATATTTCTGAATATGCTGCCAACTACTGCTGGCATCTTTGTAATGTATCAGTTGTGAGATCTTCATTGTTGTGATCTGTAAGCAAGCATACTAGACTCTATGACAAACATAATTTTTAACATTGATTATAATTATATGCATTCAATTGCATATTTAAGAAGATGTATATTGAATTTTATAAATGTATATTGCATGAATATAGAACCAGTTAAAAGTTATTTGTTTATCATATAAGGTAGACTTGGATGAGGTAATGAGAATATTTACTTTAATACAAACAAATCAAATGTTTTAGCTTGTACTGGGATGAATATAAACTATAACTATACTAAATCTCAGCTGGTTGCAGAAATGAGGCAGTCCTCAACTTGATAGTTTTTATTCATCCTGTTTAACTTTTAAATGGTTTAGGGAATTGTGCATATAAATATTATACAATTATTCATATATTATTTATGTTTATTTATAAGATATACAATATGTATATATATTACATAGTACTCTACAATGTATAGAACTATATAAGGAGTGTCTAAAGAGGTCCTTATTCTTTATTTTGGTCTGTAACCTTTTTAAATCCGTGGATTTCAATATGAATCTAACTATGTATGTGGTATCATATAAGGGGTTTGTATGTATTGATCTAAATTGCTATCACCTCTTATATGGATGCAATATTTCATACGTGTAAATGTATAGAATAACTGATAATGTACAATTTGGGGAGAATTTTAGTTTTACAATAAATTCACTAAAAATTAGACACCAAAAACCTTGGAAATAAAAACAATGAAAACTCAACAAGAACACAATTATATTTTACTATTTCATCTAGTATGGTGGCGATTTTGAGAAATGATAACTGGCTTGTTTGATGGTTATCATTAGGTTTTAATGAGATTTGCTAATTAAATACAATTTATAGGATTCATTTTAGGTATGCAAATTCACAATATTTTTGTGTTATTTTACACCTTGCAAAAATCACTGCATTTTTATTGTCAGTATTATGGCAAATCTGTACATCATTTTAGTCTCATAATTGCAATAAAACTAACATGTATTTAAGAATAACACACAGAAATAAAATTTGAAAATATATAAATAATATCTCAGTCTTATTGTGAAGTTTGATCATACACTAACTCCTTTCAAATCTGAAAAAACTGGGCACTGGCCAAAAATGTTAGAATAAGGTGTCCACATTATATGTTTCTTAAACATTAGAGTCAGTGTGAGAATAAAACATTGTAAGTAACAGACAAAGGTGATCAGAGAGAGAAGTGTTCCAGTACACAAGTTTTACTACAGAAGTTTACTTTTCTGTTCTGACAGGGACATTTTGTCAGTATTTAGACATACAGTAGAACCTTTCTAATTCAAACACCATTGGGTCCAGCTAAAAGTGTTCAGATAAGGAGGTGTTCACATTTTGCGGTTTTTGCATTTGGGAGATTCTAGATTTTAAAGAAATGTGAACACATTCTCAATGAATATTTATGAGTTCTATTAAACCACATATAGCTTTCCTGCCTTTATGGCATTACAATAATTTGAAAATCAGATTCAAATGAATTTATATGTCATGCTAGAAAGTCATTTAATTATTGAAACTATGCAATGTTTGGATGTCATGATGAAACAGTGACACATAGAAAGTATTACAGCAATTTTTGTAGAAAATATTTTAATATTTCATGAAAACTGTTCAGATTACACAGGTCAACTTAAGATAAACATGAATTAGTATTTATTGAACAAGCCTTGTATTGTGTGGTTATGGTTTTGATTGGTCATTCATTCTCAAGAAAATTGATTTAATCACTAACAAAGTTCATCATAACAAATAATCAAAATTATTCAAAGGGACAGTAGTTATATTTGACAGATTAAGGTTGTTATATACACAGAGGCTTAAAAATAACTTTAGGATAGTGTGTATATATTTTTAGATCAAAATGACTATGATGTTCCATTATCACAGACTTCATTTTTTACTGAAGCAAGAAAATATTTTGATTCTCCATGTTTGGGAATAGGAGAGTGGAGAATGAAGAGGATGTATTTTCTCGAAAACTGAATGCAGGATTTTCTGATCTTTGTTCACTTGAAATTTGATTACGTACCAAAGTGCAACAGAAATACATCAAAATGCACAAATCATCACTATACAATTCATTAAAAGTAAAACACTCATTTTTGAAAGTGTAATATCATGAAATTGGTATGTCCAAAGCTGAACACTGGACAAAGCATTGCTCCATTGCTATGACATGGAGCCACCTTATGCCAGTGAATAACTACCTTAACAAGTATCCCATGGCTATTCATATAATAATCTCATACATCAGAGATGATGACAAGTATTATTAAAGAACAAGATATATTATGGCCAATGGGGAACAAAGATCCTCTTGATGTAATCTAGAATAGTGAAATATTAAAACACAAATAATTGTTGACAGTCCAGATGATCGTGAGGAATATTGACAAATAATTACAATTATCAAATACTTGCTAAATTGTTTGTGTATAGAGACTTGCTTCAATATCTGTTTGCAATGAATGAAGGCATGATTATTTTCCTGGTGTTTTGCAACTCTGATCTTCCATTTGGCAGCTATTGATGGGGAGGGTATTTAAAAAGAAGGGAAAGTAGCAGGCAGTGAGGCACATCACATCATTCTGATTCTACATGCAAAAAGCAAGCTGGAAATATTCATTCTTCACATCTTTCTGTTGTACAATACAAAAAGGCAAAACATGTCATTGTTAACCATAATGATAAAAAGGTCATTGATTTTTTTATAATTTTAACCAGTTTCTCCAGTTTTATCATATATGATGAGGAATTTGATGTATGCATGTAGAAATTGTCATACTTCATGAAGCTCATTTGCAATCTGATGAGATATGGCAAAGCGGCCACAATTCATGTTGGAATTGGAAGTTTTGATCTAGAGGTGTCATTCTTATTTGTATAACTATTTAATCTGATGATATATGGCTAATATCGCTGTATTATCATAGGTTTTAATTTTGAAAAATAAACTATGACAACAAATACTTTATTATAGTATATTTAGTGAAAATATTTACTGTAACTAATTTAACTATTTTCTGTGAACAGAATTTTCAGTCAAAAATACAATTAAGAAGTCTATCTTTAACAATAAAATTGCACATTTGGTGAAATTGACACCTGTGAAATATACATGTATTCACAGTATTCTAAATAATCCATGGATGGATGGGAGTTCTTTGAAAAGGTCCATGTAAGGTATTGCAAGTGATTTTAGATGCTCATATCTTTCACCACTAGTACTTTATGGCCACAAGTACAGTGGTTTTTATTAAAATAATATTTTTTCTTTCAAGTGAACGTCCCCATGTTAGTAAAAATATAAATCAAACAATTCTAAAAATTATGAATAGGGAACCCATGTCAATAACTTTTCCAAAATGTTGAACCTATTTACTCAAAAGAGGATCTTCTTTTCTGATTTTTATTGCTTGGAAAGATTATTCAACATGGGGTCTAAATCTTCTTCAAAAGTAGAATGGTTTGAGAGTCTAGTTTTGAAGATATAAATTTTTGATGACCAAAATCATGCTGAAAACAATGGATAACATGAGTTTTCCCTATGGGAAAATAACATGGGATATGCGGTTTTTAAATTTCGACCTTTCACACCCCATCCCATTTTTAGGAATTATTAATATTGTGTAGACTAGTAGAAGAAATTTTTGATATGTTTAAATAGAGAAAATCAAGATCCTCTTTTTAGAAAATAAGCCTAACATTTTTAAAAACTGCTAAGGTGGGGGTCCTAATTAATCCATAATTTTTAAAGAGTTACATTGATAATTTACTATCATGTGGAGTTCACTTGAAAGAAAACATATTGTTTTAATAAAACCACTGTATTTATACCCAGAAAATACTATTTCAAAAGAACACTAACTCTTCTAATTCCTTTAAAGATCCCTTTAATATAGAAGTTGATAATTTATATACTTCCCCCATCTTCCACCACTCAATCATGCACACTGTAAATTCTCTCTAATTGATAATTACACGTCATTTTAATGTTAATTGTATGGCAGAGTAACAGATATATCCAGTACATGTACGTATATGCACTGCATCATGTGAAATAAATACATTTTATTTCATTTTCAATGTGCGTATCCTTTTTTGGCCCACCCTGTTATACTAAAAGGATTTTTGCTACTGAAGTCAATAATCTCAAACCAAATTAATATGTCTGCAAAAATGTCAAAAGCGGTAATTATGTTTTTCTAAATTGGCTGCTCAGTGCTGCAACAGTACAGATTTAAACTGATGAAGGTATTTATGATGTCATATATGTATTGGCTAGCCCTACAATAAACAAGGTGAATATTATCAGCTAATAGTATAAGGACTTCCCACAATACTGGCTATCATGCATATCATTATGAAAGGCCATAAAACTAAAAACTATCGCTGATAAAGCAACTTTTCTTCTTGATCCTCTAAGTGTGATAAGCCTAGATGTATTCATGATCTCTGTAAATATCAATCTTTCAATGTAGGCAATAAATATATATTCACGCATAGCTAGGCAAAGTGTCCAATTCAAGCTAATCAGAACACGGTATTTCATATAACTGCACTGCATTATAACACGGACTGTGATTATATAGATTCTAACCAATAAGAGGAGGAAAACCCCAGAGCTTTAGAGATGGCACATAATTACGTCTTTTGCTAATTACCACCTTTGTTTGTCAGAATTTGCACCATCAACAAGCGATGAAATCGGTTAACACGCTCGATATAACATAATTTTATTCGTAGTATGTTTAGAAAACTTAGAAACCACTGAATGATTTCATTTCTCTGTCGATTTGACCAATCAGCTTTTTTGAACCCTGCTTACAACCATTAGAGGATATACTGTAGGGGCATTCTTGGCCACGGGGCATTCCCGGACAAACCCTTGGTATCAGGTGAAAATCTGGGGGATTGTTAGTCTTTTAACAATATATATTACCACAGCGATACTATGATGCTTCTAATTTGAAGTTTCAATAAAGAAACCATATAAAAAAAAGAATTATTGAAGATCGTCCGATAATGGCCCGTGTCCGAGATTACCTCTATCTCCTCTCACCAAGGTCACTCGTTGAATGGTTGTCAAGGTGACAACTTGACTACAGATTGAAATTGATGCTTTGCCAACTTGATCCTTACAAAAAATTTCACTGAAAATTAGTTCTAAAGTGATTTCATATCTTTTTTCGAAGCAAATATTTTGTAATTGGTGAAAAGAATTTAGCCCAGAATTTGATGCATTGTGTCTGATCCATTCCACTGGGCATAATTTCCTAAACTTCACACTTGATGATTTGCATCTCATGCAAAGGTTGAAGTACCCTTTTTGAGGAATGATTCAATCAACATTGCACTGAGTCCAGGGCTTAATACCTGAAGTCTTAGATTTGCTGAAGTGAGGATTCTCTATGTGAGGCCATACATCAGTGGATAATGAGTATATAAAACGTAAAATATACAAATTTTAGGAGATATGTATCAAGACAATATTGGAAACCATGGGGTTTCAAACCACCATGGTTTAAAATGATGATAGAAAATTGACTTGTCTACTCATTTGTTTATTGCCCCAACTGTAGCCTGAACTAATAAAGTCCATTTCACTGTTTTTTGCAATAAGAAATAAGATAACCTCTATTTATTATTGGCTCACACAGTGACCTGGGATTGACTAGGCATCCCTCCGCCCATCGGTCCATTTGTCCGTCCATGGGCTTTCAACTAGATTGAAAGCCCATGGTCTGTCTGATGGTGTGTCAACATTGGCTGTACAAATTCTAAAGTCTGAATAACTTACGACTTAGCAACTACTGTAACTCATGTAATTTGGACATAAAGAGTTTTTTCTCTTTAAAGTATAAAGTTCTGTATAAAGTTATTAATTAATACTTTCTAAACATAATGTGGTTACAATTCACTGTGTGATATACCTTTGTGAATTTTGTATCTGCCTTAGTGAATCAATGACCAAAAACTCAATACAGTGTCCGGATGACATATATTTATTGTCGAGGCCCTTTATTGTAGATGGTCATTGAAAAGAGTATAAATATTACATATGAATTGAGTATTATATTCAAATTATTATATTTAAATTCAATTATCCAGGGGAACTGCTCATGCTATTTTCTAATATTTGTTTTGAAAATCTGATTTCCTTTTTGAAAACAGGCTACTAATATAAAGGTTTTGAATATCTTTCAATCATGAAGCTTCAGTTCTCATACCTTCAGTTATTTACATTCATTATTCTTTAGTCAATCACTCAACCACATCAGGAATCAAACACTGCTTAAAGTTCTATAATTAAGCTCTCTGCTAAAAGGGATATAGAAGAGGGATCAACTAAAATTTATTTATCAAGGACTGAAGTCAATTCAAAATTGTTTCACTATTTGTGTGTAATCTACAAAATGACAGGTCCCCAGTGACTTTAACAACATGGTATTGTATATCATAGGCAGTGGCACAACAGTGCTTTAGGTTTCAACATTAGCTCATGTGGTGGTATTTGTCAACAGTACAACAGGCACTTCACACACGAATAACAATTTAGATCAATTTTAACTGTGATAGAAAATACTGAACTTTGACTAGCTGTTCATTTGGATATCATTAAACAGTAGAACAACTATTGGTTTTAAATTCTTCATATCTGAAGTTCTCTAAAGTGGTTAAACCATTTGAGGAAGATCTATGATTAGCTTTAAAACAATAAACATCAATGGAGTATGGTTAAAACTTGAGGAACAAAGTGGTAAAATCAGTGCAGTTCTTTCAGAGATGGATTAACAGCTGACAAGTTAGTCGCAATATCCAAGTGACAGAATGAAGAATATATTACTATGGATATCTATAGAAGTGTTTATACTTCAGGTGACAATAGCTGTAAAAGAGGAGAGTCAACCTATTATGATTGAACAGTGGGGGCCAATCCAAACAGAATGCTCCATCTTTGGTTGCAGTTGTAACTTTGAAGCACCAGAAACAAGGGTGTCCTGCTGGTCAAGCAATATCACAAGCATTCCTGATGATCTGCCACATAATACTACTCAATTGTAAGTTACACTTTTTTGCACTGACATCAGATTTACAATAAATTATTGTTTTCTAAAAATAGTTTTTTCAAGTTATACAGTATTTTGAGGATTAGTCATATTTTCATATCCTGTTCTTAAAGTTTTTGTAAATCCCCTTCTGCCAACTTGTCAAAATTAATTATTCAAAGAAATTTTTGTATCAGTATTACAGAAGATAATCTGTTAGTCATGCCTTGAATATTGCGAGTGTATAATTCATATCAAACATTTTGAAAGTTGGTTTGACTGTTGTGCTTTGCCCATGCGAAATTGTAGGATTATGTCATAACTGATGGTGCCCATAACATCTCTCTGTTTTTAAAAAATGACAAGAAATGAGTTGACACAGTATTAGTCTCAGGGCTGTCAACTTGGGACCACCTAATATGAGTGACTTACAAATGTTGGACACCGAAGTCCAAATCTGAACACTTTTGTCCAAATTTTGAACACCTTTGGCCAACTTTTAAACACCTTTGGCCAAAGTTTGAGCACCTTTGCTACGCTCGCGATGTCGTCAACGGGGGGGGGGGGGGGGGGGTAGGTACGAAAATTTCCAATGAACATGCGTGACATATACGGGATTCGCATGACAAATCCGAACAAATTGCGTTCGTTTTTTTCCGACGTTCGTATTTTTACCGTATCATTAACATATTTTGAAAAAATTTTTACAGAAACATATTTGCGTGACAATTACCAGGTAAAATGCGTATTTGCGTGACATTTTGTGTCACGCAAAAAAAACTGGCGTGACTTCAAATTCTTCAGCAAATGCGTGACAAATACGCAAATTGCGGGACAGTTGACAGGCCTGTAGTCTTATTAGTTAGTCTTATTATAAATAAATACCCCTACCCTTTCAATACTTTGCCAATACATTGATTTTGCTCAGGATTTATCTAAACCAAATATACTTGGCTCTGACACTTAGGGAAAAATATCCCACATATCCCATATGATAGTTCAAAGTTTGAAAGCCCATGTTTTAAGTGATACACAGAGGTCTGGGAAAACACACATTGTTATAGTTCTAAATAGAATCATAATACCACATTGTGGGATCCACAGCCTTTAGTTAGGTAAAGAGGGGCTCTGATAAATCAGAATGATAATACCATCTTTCATTCAAAGGACTTCATTTATTACTCAATTCAGAAATGGAAAGAAGTGAAATACCCTTGGACCAATATGTCATAATACTGAATTTACCAGGTATCCAATAATTTGTTCTTGCTTCATACATGTATAATTTACTAGGCACTTAGGGTATATACCATTCACAGGTGTGTTTCTAAATTAAACAATTACGATTATAAAACAAACACTTAGCAATGGTTTCTTAGGCAGTTGTACATTTAAATCATAACAACAGTAAAATAGACGGAGAGTAATAATCCATATGTAAATGAAACTTATGCAAGTTTGAATGAAATCATAAATGCAAGGTATAGAACTATATAATTTAGTGTTCAGTAGCATGCATTATTATTGTACTATGATAACAAAAATGATATAAGTTGTTTATTTTCAATGATTGTGCTTCGGTTTGGGTTAATCCAGTCCTACTAGATACACAATTTATATCTTGAGAGGAAGCAAACATTTACAGAGGACCACAGAGGTCACAATTGAACTTGAAGAATTTCAGTTTGTTTAATTTGAATAGTTAAACATTTGAAGACAGTGTAACTTAAAATGCTCATGAATTTTTCTTTGGTGACCTTATATATCAATTTCTTGCACCTATTTTGGAAAGTTCAAATGTAGGTTTAACTTGAAGAATTTTATACTTTTACTTGTTCTGTGGAACCAGGATCTTTACTAGATTTCACTAAAGGGTGACCCATGATAGGAAATAGAGCTCTCAGTGAGCTTCCTGCATTCACTGCTGAACCTTATGCCAGGCTATACAATTTCACTTCCTAAATGTATTCACATGTAATATTACTCATAGCTTCTCTTTTCACCCAAATAAATCATACCCCTACTAGCTTAACACAGAGCACAAAAGGACCAAACACAAGGGAGATCACCCAGTGCATTTGTATAAATAGAATGAAGTGTGGAAGCATTTTATCTAATTTTAAATCAACGAAAAGTTGATATTGTGTGGGTTTTGTTTATTTAAAGTTGCATCAATTTATATCTCTCCAATTTTTATTCAGATTTTTTGAATATATGGTTGTTCAATTTTTGTTTAATATGACTGAGAAGCTGAATGCCTGTATATCATAAATTAAGCTTCTAAATCTACAAGGGAGTGTTGCATTTATTTTTATTATAGCAATTCAATAATAATTAACCTTTTGTAAAACTATGTATGTATGTGTCATTGTGTCTTGTTGGCTATTTTTTCTCTAGCCTATGAATAATTGTTTCTGTTTCAAAACAGAAGTGTTAATTCCTAGAAGCATGGCCTTTTGTTTGCTTAAATTTAGAATCGATTTTTAAAACACAAACATGTTTTTCTGCATTGTAAGTACTAATGTACTTTTAAATCCTGCTTTGAAGTTGTATCAGCTACCAGTATTAATGCTTTCATTTACATACTCTCAGAAATTTGAAATGGGGGCAACTTGAACCAAAACACAATCTAAATTACCTGTCTGATTGAAACAATTTATCAACTTGTTTGGCAAAAAATAATTTAAAACAGGAACATGAAATCCAATTAGATATCACATAGCCATGACCTGTTAACATTTTAGACATCAAAAGAAAACGAGACTTATTTTTCATCTACTGTGTAATTTTGTCTTTCTTGAAAGCTATTAGGTATTATTGCATCATTAACTTAATTGTTTGGAATATCACTTTATTTAAATGGACAGAGCGAAGAATATATTTATAGGGCGATATACTCAAATGCAACACTGTTGGCAACTTTGAAAGGTTAAGGTTATGGGACCTTAGCAGTGTAAGGGTCTTATATGTAAGGCAAGCTGCTCTGAGGAGGGCTATATTTAGAACTTTATATCAAACAACATAATAATCTTACTAACTATCAGCCTACTTGAAATGACCAATTAAGTGTATTAAAAATAACTAATGAGATTTTTATTCACACGTTTATTTAAGACTAAAATTAAGTCCTCATTCAAAGTCAAAATAACACTTTTATAGTTTGAGAGGTTATGGTATCAGTGATCTTGAGATGTTTCCTTATCAGTTTTCAATTAAACTTGTTGTTTTATATGTTTTGTAAACTGACAGCTTGGTACTTGATTAATCTTGAAGTTCAGAAGTTGTTGCAACATGAACCGTCCCAAAATATTTGGTTAGGAATTTGCTAAATTGACAAAATTTACAACATGATTGTAATACATCTCTATAAATCGGTATAAGATTTGTGTTTGGGATTTGTGTCAGAAGTTTGTGGTGGTGAATGCAGACATTGGATTGGAGTCTTCAATAAATGACATCAATTATGTTTAAAATGGTCTTGGTGTTTAGATCTGTACTTTCAGCATTTTTGTTCAAAATAGGTATGTTGATATGTAAACCCCAACCATGTTCTACTGTTACATGGCCTTACAGGTGTGCAGCCAGCTTTCAGTCAGGGTGGTGCGATCGCCAAAATAATTTTTTCAGTCAGGTTGTGACATAAGCAACCCCAAAAAAAGATTTGTTTTGAATTTTACAAAAATTGATGCAACTTCTTTAAAATGAGCTAGAAGCTTCAATAAAAAGCATTTTAAAGCTCTTATTCTATCTACTGGTTGTATTTTTATGGTTATGTGGGGTTATCGTTGTGTTACATGGTCTTAAATGATTGGTATTGTTATGTTACATGGCCTTGTATGATTGGCATCATTATGTTACTTGGCCTTGTGTGATTGGCATCATTGTGTTACATGGCCTTGTGTGATTGGCATTGTTGTGTTACGTGGCCTTGTGTGATTGGCATCATTGTGTTACATGGCCTTGTGTGATTTGCATCGTTGTGTTACATGGCCTTGTGTGATTGGCATCATTGTGTTACATGGCCTTGTGTGATTGGCATTGTTGTGTTACGTGGCCTTGTGTGATTGGCATCATTGTGTTACATGGCCTTGTGTGATTGGCATCATTGTGTTACATGGCCTTGTGTGATTGGCATCATTATGTTATGTGGCCTTGTGTGATTGGCATCATTGTATTACCTGGCCTTGTGTGATTGGCATCATTGTATTACCTGGCCTTGTGTGATTGGCATCGTTGTGTTACATGGTCTTGTGTGATTGGCATTGTTGTGTTACGTGGCCTTGTGTGATTGGCATCATTGTGTTACATGGTCTTGTGTGATTGGCATCATTGTGTTACATGGTCTTGTGTGATTGGCATTGTTGTGTTACGTGGCCTTGTGTGATTGGCATCATTGTGTTACATGGCCTTGTGTGATTTGCATCGTTGTGTTACATGGCCATGTGTGATTGGCATCATTGTGTTACATGGCCTTGTTGGATTGGCATCATTGAATTGTGTTACATGTACATGGCCTTGTGTGATTGGTATCATTGTGTTACATGGCCTTGTGTGATTGGCATCATTGTGTTACATGGCCTTGTGTGATTGGCATCATTGTGTTACATGGCCTTGTGTGATTGGCATCATTGTGTTACATGGCCTTGTGTGATTGGCATTGTTGTGTTACGTGGCCTTGTGTGATTGGCATCATTGTGTTACATGGCCTTGTGTGATTGGCATAGTTGGATTGTGTTACATGTACATGGCCTTGTGTGATTGGTATCATTGTGTTACATGGCCTTGTGTGATTGGCATCATTATGTTACATGGCCTTGTGTGATTGGCATCATTGTGTTACATGGCCTTGTGTGATTGGTATCATTGTGTTACATGGCCTTGTTTGATTGGTATCGTTATGTTACATGGCCTTGTTTGATTGGTATCGTTGTGTTACATGGTTCATTAGATTGACATTGTTTTATTATATCAATTTATGTTTGGCATTGCTATGATTCATTGGTTTATATGTTTGGCATTGTTATATCACATTACTTTATATGATTGACATTATTGTGCTACTTGGATTTATATGATAGGCATTGTTAAGCCATCTTGATCCATCAAGGTATTTCATATGACTGAAGGAATACACTGGTTTAACAGTAGGTTGTTATGCCATGAAGTTTATTTTTGTGCTTCATTCCCTGCCATGGTTCCACTTTTGTGTTACATCATCATTATTGTTGCTGTTGTTTTGCATAACTTGTCATGAATGAACATTTTGTGTTTTATACCTGGTTATGACATGCTATCTGATGGAACTGCTTGTTCATCTTGAATATTTAATGTTATAGTATATCTCAAGAGAAAAATATGTCTCAGTTTAATATTGAGAGAAGATAAGTTATAAATAGACATTGACATTATTGTCTAAGGATATAGCTAATTAAAATCTATAGTACCACAACTGCTCAAAACCATGTTATTTCTCTTAATATTCATTGAGGATGCCAAGTAAAAGGTACTCAAATGTGGGGCATTAATCAAGGTTTATGCTCTTCAAGCCTCTAAGCTAACAGGATTACAAACCATCTGTGGTACTTCATCCAACTGATCCCATTCCTAGGTAAACACAGCAGAATTTTAATAAACACAGACATTTCTGTTTTGAAACACACCTATTTTCTTAATGAGTTATCCTGACTCTGTTCAAATCCATTGGGGCATTTACGTAACTAGTTCCAAACGTGTGCCTCTTGTAAGTTGTAATTCAACCTACCTAGTTTAATTACATCATCAACTGATAACCTAAAATGTGTTATTCAAAAGAAATTTGAGTTATCACATTATCTGGTCGTAATGTAATGCTCGACTTGCTTGACCAGATAAATCACTTAATAAAACAATACCATTGCTTGACGATGTAAATCGCTTAATGAAACAATACCTTGCTTGACCATGTAAATCACTTAATTAAACAATACCTTGCTTGACCATGTGAATCACTTATTAATGAAACAATACCTTGCTTGACCATGTAAATCACCAAATGAAACAATACCTTGCTTGACCATGTAAATCGCTTAATGAAACAATACCTTGCTTGACCATGTAAATCACTTAATTAAACAATACCTTGCTTGACCATGTGAATCACTTATTAATGAAACAATACCTTGCTTGACCATGTAAATCACCAAATGAAACAATACCTTGCTTGACCATGTAAATCACTTAATTAAACAATACCTTGCTTGACCATGTAAATCACTTAATTAAACAATACCTTGCTTGACCATGTGGATCACTTATTAATGAAACAATACCATTGCTTGACCATGTAAATCACTTAATGAAACAATACCATTGCTTGACCATGTAAATCACCAAATGAAACAATACCTTTGCTTGACCATCTAAATCGCTTAATGAAACAATACCATTGTTTGACCATGTAAAACTCTTAATGAAACAATACCTTGCTTGACCATGTAAATCACTTAATTTAACAATACCTTGCTTGACCATGTGAATCACTTATTAATGAAACAATACCTTGCTTGACCATGTAAATCACTAAATGAAACAATACCTTGCTTGACCATGTAAATCACTTATTAATGAAACAATACCTTGCTTGATCATGGAAATCACTTATTTATGAAACAATACCTTGCTTGACCATGTAAATCACTTATTAATGAAACAATCCCTTGCTTAACCAGGTATCACTTTACTAAACAAGAGCATTGGTTGGTCATATAAATCACCATCTTGGATTACAAAGGTATGAAGAAAATCCCAACTGGTAAGCGAGTATGATGATAAATCACTAAATGAAACAATACCCTACTTGACCGCTAAAAGAATTACATAGCAAGAGTAATTAGGAGTAAATAACTGAATGCACATGTATATTAAATCTGCAAATGAGTACTGTACATTGGTATGTTGAGGTCTGAGAATTGCCACACAATTACTTGTCAATCTCCTTTATGTAATTGCACATTATATCAGGAATTTACCCAATTTGGATTTTTAATGTTGTGCTGCATCCTTTCTGGTTCTATTAGATCTTCAGCATATTCACAGAGTTCCTTCTAATTTAAATTCTTGAGCTGTGGCTACACTGGATAATGTTAATGTCTTTTTTATGGTTCACATTTTCTCAAGATTCATCTACATTGGTATTTTTATATTCATGAATACATACCAAGACAAGTACAGTCAAAACAACTCATTCTGATGAAAATTATAGAATTATTGAGTTTGTAAATTCAACTTTACTTATAATAGTCTTTATGTCACCACCACAAATTTATGTTCAGTGGTGGTGTTTGGTGTCAATAAAAAATGGTAGGTGGTGACATTTCACATATTAATGTCTTGTTTTTGTTTTGAACTATATACATGGACATTAGGGGTCCCACGATACATTATGAAACGATACGATATGTATCTCGATACCCAGGTCACGATACGAGCAACGATACGATACATAATAGTGTAGTTGAACCGGGGGAGGGGGGGGGTGCAAAACTGACGTAGCTGAGGTCGAGTTGAAAGTCTATCACTTGCTGTGACATTTGATTAAGATGCAGCATAAAAACTATTGTCAAGTATCAAGCCAACCTGCTGTATAGTAGCCAGCTATGCATATTTTGCAATATTTTTTGAAGTCCGGCTGTGCTTTACCTTGACTGAGGAATGTTACAAAGTACTATGTAATAGATTTTCTATTACATTATTATCTATTATATTTCTATTCTATTTTCTACCCATGTTTGATATTTACACGGCCATAATTCTATCAATTGTTTTTAAAAATTTCAAAAAGTTTCAATTTCTAAACTCCGGTCAACATTAATACTCCGAACGTAAATATTGTTCGGTTTTTTATTAGAGTTATCAATATTAGTAGGCAATTTTTTAACGCGGCGTTCTATCAAATAAAAAGTTCAAAGATTATATTTATTCATACTAAATTGTCAAAAAGTATATAGAATAATTATAAAACAAAGTATGTTGATATACGAAGACATAGAAGACAGTGTCTTCAAGACACGAGTTATTTGTTCGCATTTTGACTGTCAATCCGCTAAGCATTCTGTTCGCATTTATACACCATTTTGGGCGTGTCATGTCCAGCGAGAAACCAAACAAAAAATATAAGAACAATTTCTCAAAAAAGTCAAATATTCAGTAGATTTCGGCAAAATATGATGGATTTCAGGTATGTTAATAATATTTTTGGTGTATCGATATTTGAGTCTTCGTATCGATACGCTCGTATCGTCACCAAACGAGCCGATGCATCGATATATCGATGAATCGCGGGACCCCTAATGGACATTACAGTATCTTTACCTTGGTCCTTTGCTTTTTCCAATGCAACTCTTGAAACAGCATGTTGTATCAGTATCCCTTTCTTATCTGCTCAACTTGTGTAACCATTTGCAGGTGGTCACATTCTGTCATATTATTGCCTTGTTTAATTTTGTGACTTATGCAATGATCATGTAACACTAAAAGTAAATCGATATAAAATAGCAATAAAAGATGGTATCTGGTCAACTCGGACCCTAGTTAACTCTAACCCTAGTCAACTTTGACCCTAGTTAACTCTGACCCTAGTTCACTCGGACCCTAGTCAACTTGGACCCTAGTTTACTCGGACCCAGTTATATTCAATATAAACCAGAGGTATTTTGCTCAGGTACCCATGAGTTCATCTTTAGTGTTACATTCACTACATTGAATATTTTCACAAATGTTTGTAGATTTTCACATTTTCAACAATGATATACATGTACTTGTTCAATTGGCATTAAAGTATCAAAGAATGTGGTGACATTTTGTTATAGGCTCTAACAACGATGTTTGGCAGTTGGTTTTTGGCCTTTTCTATAGTTGGAATTAGTCCAGTTGAGGCATGCTGATTTGTCTTAATTCTCATGTGATCGGGCTAATATAACAGTTACTTATGATACATACCGGTATGATTAGAATATAAATCAAAAAAGATTTTGATAACGATGATTTCAAAATGCCATTTTCTATTTGTGTTTATGATTAGTAGTTTACAACTTAGGGTTATCTGAATTAATGATGATAATGAAACTTAATAAAGTCAGTCAAACCTCTTGAAATTATTTAAACTGTTTGAATTATGTTTATGGTATCTACAATGTCAAATTGATTTCAATCAATAATATTTTTGTTACAGTTAGAGTGTTTTTATTTAGGTCAGTTTGACTCATTATTTACAATCGCAACAACTTGGCAGTTCATTTCCTCTCTCACTGGATACTATAGATAACTGGTGGGTTTTTAATTAGCAATTAATTGGTTTTAAGCAAAAGCATTCATTTTGTGTCAAAATAGTCACTAATCTATTATTCCACATTTGCGATGACATTAATGGTATAATTTAGCTGCAAATGAAATAATAGGCCTTCAAAGTGGGGGTAATTGAGAAATATTTGTATAAAGCATTGTTTATCATCTACATTTACGTCATTCCAGCAATGCATTGAGAGGACAAACAAATCTATTCCCTTAAAGATATTTCTAAAATCATGAAATCTTTCCAGTTTCTTTTTAAAACAGTGAAAGCTGTAAAGATTATTTTATATTTCTTTTAAGTAATTTGAAACAAGTTAGTAAATCTCCTTTGTTAATTTACTTAATTATCGTCTTTTCTATTTATTCACATATCATTTATAAAAGCGAAACATATTGTAAAGGTTTGTAAGAGGTTGTTGAGTATAGGACTACTTAAAGTGATACTCAAACATATTTCCTCTGCTTGACTGCATTGATATATACTGGTATATATGTTAAAGGTATGTTCATTTTCAGCCTGGATCCTGATTTTCCAAACTCTCTCTACTGTTTGAAAGACACAATCAGATTCACCAATCCCTCTTTATTGCTTGCAAGACACATTCATATTCTGTTGCAACAATGAGCCTAAAAATGAGTCTAAAATACAAGATAACCTCCCAATACAAATCTCAAATTATGAGTGTATTGAATTATCAAATGTTGGATATCATGTTTTGATCAGTGATTCTCAAAAAGGGGAATGACCGCTTGAATATGCCAACATGGTAAAAAGTCAGGAAACGGTGTGGTCAATTAGAGACAGGTACAAATGCCTATTTCCTATTACTACACTTATTTGTGCATTAAGTGAAAGGGATTCTGTTAAAAACACTTAATTTCATTGGAAGTCATTCCTGCGTATCTTTAATGTGAGTGATAATACTGATAGAATGCGTATTTTATAAGATTAGTCTCATTTATTTACTATATTATTCTTAACAATTTTTATTTTTTGAGGTAGCTTTGCCAATATAATATTTTTGAGTTTTTCTTAAGATAGTTTTTCAAATTGTTATTTTTGATTTTAAGTAATCCAGTGAACCAACTGTATAACACTTTGAACTGATTAGCTTTTGGGCATGTTGGTTAAATTTTGATATGGCAATTTTTGATTTTTAGGTGTAATATTGTGGGCCTGATTTTCTAGTATAAAAGAAAGGTGGCTTTCTTTATTTGTTTGCTTTTTGTTTGAGTTAAAAATGAGATATACCAAGAGGCTTTAAGAGATTGAGATTGGCAACGTATTAAACTTAATACATCACAGAGCTGTCTGCCATCTGTCTTTGCCAATTTAGATTGATTCCTTGATACCACCTCAAGTTCAAAGTTCCACATTACATAATAATGGGGGAACCATGGCAACCATTCTGATTCTCATCATATCTCTCTCTCTGTGATAGAGAATGGTAAACCATGACATCTCAATTCTCTTCAGCCACAAGATCGGAAAGATGTGATGAGTATCAGAATGCTTAAGATGTACATTGTACATATTTAGACAATTATGTATCGGGGGGGGGGTGGTCAGAATGCAGAAATAGCATTTAACAGGAAGCCAATACAAAGAAATAAAATGTGCATGCATCAATTAAAAGATAAAGGTGTTCTCGTTCAAATGATGTTTATACTTCATATTATAATGCTCAGTACAGGTAGAGTCATTGATTGGACCTTGGAGTTTACTCAAATTGTATATTGTGGCATCTGTGACAGCGTGCACAATACATGTAGGTCCCTGGTATTTTTAAGATCTTTGCACACATGGGAGTTGGGGTGTGCATTGTTGAGGTGTTGCTATAGTAAGACCTATAACTGTCTATTTGTAAGAAATTCTCTAAGATTTGTTCAAAGAATAAGTGAGTTATGTTATTTTGATAGTTATTTATATAATATTGCATCAAGTCTCTGATTGCAATGGCATATGTCTGAAAATTTCTCTCCAAGGACTTGACATCTGCAAGGTTTTCCTGAATGACATGAGATCTGAAAAATTCTCAGAATTAGTTTGACATAGACAAATATCTTGGAGAACTTGACATTTGAAACATTCTTTTAAATGAAAAGACATCCATAATATTCTCTTCAATAACATGGCATCCAATGCAAAATTGAATGTATCATGTTCATAAAAGTTGAATAGATCCCATAAAATGGTTTTCTTTATAAATTCTGTATATTGTGATTAGCATGGAGGGCTGTATTAATACTTCTTTTCTTGGATAACATCAGGTGAATGATTGCTTTTTAATGAAAGGAAGACACATTCCTGAAATCTGAGCTGCTTCTGTAATTCCAAAATACCAAGATAGAAATGTTAGAATATTTCCATTCCTGATTCATAATAGGAAGGATGTCAATATTTTAAATGCAATGAAAGATTTGATTTTGATAAACAACTGTAGTTAATGTGGGTGGATGCCATCTAAATGGGACATTTATCTTAATAGTATTTATACATTTCATACAATTGGATATACTTACTACTACATTTGTATATTTCTGCCAATAGCACCTCCCTTTTGTTCATCTGAGTTGTTATGCAGCTTGGGGTTTGGTTCAATAAATGTGGGTACTTTAAATACCCTTTACTTATTAATGTGTAAACATGCATTATATTCCACATGTTAAGCTGATGTAAACACATAAAGTAACATTCATTGAACTGCTATTTAAAATGCCATTTGACATTATCACAAAAATCAAATATCTGAGATCATTGTTTTAAATGCATTTTGTTTTAAAAAATATATGAATAATGAATGTCTTAATTTGTAATTTCTCATTTTGCTTTAATTGACACTCAATTTTTTTTAGAATGTAAGGTTGTTTTTATATGGAAATGTTCAATGAAATATTGCAAAGAAACATTAGTCGATAGGTGCTCTCTTGGGTGTCCTAGTTGCTGTCCACATCCTTTAGGATTTATCTAATTTATCACAGGAGTTTCCATTGTCAGTATAACCATAAAGAAGATTTAATAGCTGTTACTATCATATTAATAATTTTCCTCGGAAATAGCTTTAGATTTCATTTTCTTTTTCATGATGAAATGTGGAAGTTTATATTATGCTTCAATTTGCTAATTCATCCATTCTCCTTCGATAAGGCAAGTGTTTAGTTTATTCCATGTTTTATCATCATCCATTTAAATTAAAACCATACCTAAAATATCTGCTATCAATCACCTGTAGGCAAGCTAAGTAAGATTTATCATTCTTATATGGTGCCTCGTTCTTTGATCTTTTTTAAGATCAATTCTATGGAATATCTTCAAGAATACTATCTGTACATGTATTTTTGGATTGTTGCAGTCAAATGCATGGCCCTAAGAAACGCTTTATGAAATGATCTTTTCATCTTGTTATTGTGATTTTTGTGATCAGACTGGAGATTGGAAGGTGACAATATATTTTTTGTTTATATTTCAAAAGAATTCAGCTTCTGATTTTCATTCTTTTTCGAGAGATCTAAATAAGAAATGACAAAACAACTATGCAATTAACTTGCAAACTGTAGCTTTATATTAGCTCCAAAAACAAAATAATTAGTGACATATTAGACAAAGAAATAAGGATATTTTACAAGACAATATACATTTCTTTAATTAATCCCTTCTATTCTTGATGTTCTGTCTCTCTGTTTAAAAAATGTCACATTCACCTAGAATTTCAATAAAAGTAAGAAGTTATGAATGACATAATACTGGGGGAGGGAGGGGTGAACTATGGGACTATAATTAAAATGTTATACTATGTTTTTTATTAAATATACAATGTACAGTGAAGAAATGTCGAAAAGGGATATTTTGAAATCTACTTTAAGGGAATAAGTGTTACATTTGCATCTCTCAATGCTGGACCAATTAAATGTTTAGTAAATCCTGAGTCTTTGACGGGCGACATCATTCAACCAGTTAACAAATTGTTTAAAACAGCACTCACAGACATGAATGGACTGTATAATTAAGTTTATTATTGATTTGGAAGGATTTACTTTTTCTTAATCCTTCTCTCTCTGTTAAATGTCAATACAATTGCGCAAAAGACTTGTGTTGGAAATAATTATCGGCTACCATAAGTGGACATAAGTGTGTTTTATTGGGATTGATACCTTGTCTTGTCATCAAAGATTTTTTAGATTGATGATGAACTTAGCTTATTAAGGCTTATTATTTGATCCAGATTCATTATCATATCACTTAAACATTAGTGACTGCCATATTTACTTTTCTCAAAAAAATAATGTTCAAAAACTACCCATCTCAGCAAAAAATCATTATCATTATAATGATTTCTGAAAAGCATTTTCAATGTTTTAAAACAAATAGTGTTTTAACTCTGCTTACCCATTTGATTAGAACCTTTGCATTCATTTGACTCGTTTCGTCTAGACTCTGCGTACAGGGTAATTTGATTCATCCCCTTTTCAGTAGTTTTGTTAGGCTTTACTTATAGGCTCTGGGTATTAAGGTATAGGATCATAGACTATTTATATCAGAGGTGTAACCAGCTTTCAGACAGGGGGGGATCAGATCGCCAAAAGGTTTTGGTTTTCAGTCAGGGGGTGCAATTTTGCCATAAACAAGCCAAAAATAAGATTTGTTCTGAATTTTACAAAAATTGATGCATCTTTCTTCAGAATTGAGCTAGAATCTTCAAATAAAAAGCATAAAGCTCTCTTCTATCTCATGGTTTTACTTTTATTGGTTATGGGGGGGGGGGTTGTGATCGCACCCATCACATCCCCCCTGGCTACGCCTATGTATATGATGTACAGTGGTTAGTTTCACAAAGATTTTGGATTAAGTTGTTCAGTAGGGAGGGACATCTTCACCCAGTGCTGTATAGAATTAGAGTTTGTCTCCAAATACATCTTCACACATGTTGCAGTATGCCAGCCTCTGGATAAATGGCAATTGGATATGAAGGAGAAATTGAATTAAATGTCTTCAGGGTGGTCTCAAAATCACATTTCATAATCATGATTAATATTATAGAAATAAATGTGGTCTATGAAGATAAATTCTGC